CCACACCACCATGTTGCCGCTCCGTCACCTGATGTCCTACCTGCACCCTCGAAGCTTTCTACTAGAACACCATCACCGCCGAATCGCAAACAGAAAGCCAAATCCGCTCCCAAGGCGCCTGCCAAGCGTCGTCGCCGACGTGACCAATCCCGATCCCGCTCCACGAGCCCACTGTCACTCTGGACTTCCGAAGACAAACAGAAACTACGCACCTTGAAGGCTGACGAGAAGTCTCGATTTTCATGGAAGGTGATCTCGACCAAGATGGGCAAGTCCGAGGAAGATGTTCGCTCTATGTGGAATAAGATCAAAGACCAGCTTGGCTGACCCACGACATATGCGAACCAAAGAAAAGTTAGCCTGCGGCACTGTATTATCGCTTCACCACCCATTTTGTCTTGTCTTTTGAGATTTTTCGTTCTTTAAGTTGATCTTCACAAACTCAGGCGTTGTTACTCCATTGAATTTTGACACGTCATATCATACAACCCGCCAGCCATTTATTATGTCTCTCCGCATTCACCTGGACCGCTATTGCCAACTGCGAGCTATGTCCCACGAGAGGATCTCACCTACACGACGCTCACGCTCTCCAACAAGGGCATCGTCTTCCGCTATGGGCTCTTCGTCACTTCAGCACCCACCCAACCGGACTCCGCCTACGACACCCCATCGACCGGTTATTTTCCAATTGGACCTGAAGCCGATGCAGCAACTTGCCGTCCGCAACCCTTACTACAACATCTTGACCCCCAAGGTCGCGGGCAACCTCTCTACGGCCACTTATGATAGCCTGTTCCAGACGTTCAAGGTGATCTACCCGGACTATGCTCGCAGTCATTTCGTTTCAGACCTCAAAACCGTGGTCACCGACACGCTGCTACAACGATGGTCGATACACCTACCAGCGTCAGATTTCTACATGATGATTGACACCGATCAAGGAGCTCAGATGCTTGACGACCTCCCTCATTCTCTCCTGGACGTTTTGAACTGGTTCTACCCGACATGGAAAACTCATCAACATCTCGATGCCTTCACGACTCGTGAGTGTTCACCTTTGATGCTGACACCCCATCCAGATCCACAGGACACAGGCTTTGCTGTCCATGTCCAAGTGATTCCCCGTGGGCATCCATTCGTCACGGCCACCAGATACACTAAAGCGGCCGAGTGATTAGCCTTTGAGATCGACCTTGGCGACGCTCACATCTATGAGGAAAAAGAGAAAACACTCGTTATGATGTCCGCCACCTCGGTTTTGGTTTTTCCTTTGTCTCCCTCCCTTTTCTTCTTTCCATATTGTGATGTTCGTTATTCATTTCTTCATCATTGACCTTCCCCACGGCTTTTTGGCTTCAGTTCAGTGTATCTCGATATCATATTATTGTTATTGTACATGATGACCTCCAACACGGATGGTGCTGCTCGATTGGCCTCACACCGTTCCCCACCAACATCCGTACATGGCCTTGTCCCACACCTGCCACCTGATGATCCTACTTCGGCATCCTATATTCCCCGTGCAGCACGAACGATTCCGACCTCTACCACTGTCCATTCCGTCTTCATCAAGAAGCTGAGCTATCCCTTGTCTACCCGTCCGGATGAACTTTGGATCGTGGAAAGGACACTTGATGGTATTGAAACGTGGAAACCAGTGGAAACATTTCTGGAGAACATGCACCTCACCAACGATCAGGCGACCCTACGTACCACGGCTAATCATTGGCGCCGATACTATGACGTACCAATTCAATTATCATCCTCCTCCCCTACGGCAACTGCTGTTCCTGTTCTACCACACCCTGAACACTCCAACGTCTATGTCTCCCAACCGTACGAAGCGATACCGGACCAACTCCATATTTTGCAGTCATGCTGGGGACGCTCTGCCCAACACCACTCTCAAGGAACCACCACCTCTTTGTATTGGCCACCTTGGCGGTCTACACCACCTTCTTCACCACCGGCAACACTGCAACGTACGTTACATCTCACTCGCCCTGCCGTCCCTCCTCAACAAGTACATGGTCCACTGGATGCGAACGATATGGGCCCGATGGATATGTCGGACTCCAGTGTGTAATACACCACATCATTTGTCGGCATCGGAAAAGAACAGTGATTTACCGTCATTTTGTGACTACTTACTAGGTACACCGTTTCCCTTCAAATTTCAACACTTTGAGCTTTACTCTTTGGTCATTATCAACCTATTCTGCAGCTTGGGCTTTCCGCTTTATCTTCGACACTCGACATTCGACGCCATGGCTCATTCCTCTCGGCCCCATCCATATCGCGCTACATCCACGGTGGAGACACCAATGGGCACCCGAACTGTTGGATGGCTTGCTGGACCCCGAGGCCTACCTGGTCACGTGAACCCTCCTCCAAACCGACCTGTTCTTATTTTGATTGACTTCTCTCCCTTACAGGCATTGACTCATCGCAGCGAACCTGACCGTGAACACTACATGGCTATGGCTAGCTCAAATTTCAGAAATGTTAGTGGCTACGAACTTGAGGCCCTGTTTACCTGGTCGCGTCAGATGGAACCAGTTGAAGCCGGCCTCATTCCAACTGGCGAGCTACGCTTCTGTATCTCAAAAAGATTGAGGTCCCAATGGGACATCCAAATTGATCCCTCGAATTTGGAGTTTCGCTTTTGCGACCTGGACGGTGGTACATTTCAAGTCTCCAATGATATGACGATCTTGCAGCTTTTGGAGGAATATCGACCTGAATGGCGACTTCGGCAGTACAACTCCCGTGAATCCTCTTTGCTCATTCCGGGTACCACACAGCCTTTCGTACTACGTCTGCAATGCCACAAAATTAGCCCCGGTGTGATCTTGCCCTGATACGCTAGCCGGCCAAAAAGACCATGCTGCAGGGTTTTCAATTCTCCCTTGACACCTCACCAACACAAAGGATTCTTTGATTTCCACCTTATTTGACTTTGAGCTTTGGCTTCTCCGTCGCAATTGAACCACTTGATTGAGCACTGGACTTCACTTCTATTATTATTATTAGTGTTATCATTTTCTGGCTTTGCTTATTTGTGCAATTTTTGATGCCTCAGCCTTTGTTGCACCATTTCTCGCATTTCTGATCGTTTCACCCATGGAGCACAAACGAGACGCGACCGTGGCGGGCTTGGCTTGGCCTTCGAATCCTACCCGTGGACTCACTCCTACCAACCCAGTTCAAGTACCAGACGCCCAGGCTTCTGCAGTATGTCATTCTGGCCTTTCTGACCCTCCTACCAACACCACTTCGGCACCTTTGACAACTGACAGTACAGCTCCTGAGCTTGGAAATACGGTCCATTCTGATACATACTCAGGCCTCGCACCTCCTGATGTCCCGTTTCCGCCGGAGCCCAGTTCTACACACAACTACCTCCATCGTGCTCACTTCTCTTCCCGCGTGGTTCACCAGATCCAATTCAAGATCATTACCCACTCCAACAACACCAGGGAGCTATTTATTGAAGAGATCCCCTTGTCAGGGCTTTCCAGATGTCGTGATCCTGAACACTACTTTTATGGTCTTTCGGGCAACTGGGAGTGGTCCCTGCGCACAGCGGATTATTGGCGACATCATTTTGAAATTCCTCTAGTACATGGACATCACCCTTTTCACAATGTTCCCATTGAGACCACGGCACCTACGGAGGCAACCCGCTTTACTCCGACGATCCAGGACTTGGCCCAACAACTTTCAATCACTTTGAGGGCTGCTATGGCATCTGGGGAAATCAACGACACGTGGAGGATGCTTGAGGACATGAGCTTCCGTGACGCGATCGAAACACTTCAAGCTGAGACGAGCCTCCCTTCTGAGTGACTGAACACAGCTCTGTACATTAGCTCCGGAAAAGCTTTTTGTATTTAATCTTGTCGACATTTGCTGCGATGGTCTTCCAAAAATCAAACCCCGCTACAAGCGGGGTGTGTGTGTGTGTGTCACATCTGAACAGATGTAAAACTTCTTTGACTCTTACCGTTTTACATTTGCAGGGAACCTTTTTATATTTGCAGGGGGCACCTGGAGCATGGATAGGTCAGGTGCCAACGAAGACACCTATCCAATGCTTGTGATATCACGGCTGATCACCGTGACGTACCTGCCAATTTGCAGATCGGTTTCAACTGTTGATCAAGCTGTTACATTGCGTTGTTTCGAATCTACACGGTTGCCACAATCTGTATTGCATGCATCAGAACCTTCCTCAGATTTTCGCCGAAACCATATCGCCGACAGTATTATGATTTTTTGACAGATTTTCGCCGAGATCATGTCGCCGACGAACTTTGGGTCTTTTTGGGAAACAATCGCCGAAACATTATTTTGGATTTTCAACATGCTGGTCAAAACTCTTTGGACTCTGGTTTTAACTACGTTTGACAATATTGGATGCCCTACATCGTTTTCGAGAAGTACCTCATATGGCTCCTTTACTAATCTAACGATCTAGGCTGGTTTGCATGTTTCAGGATTCAGTTCCTGCCGGATCATATAATGATCCATTCTTGTCTAGTGTGTGCGCGCAGATGAGTCAGAAAATGTTTGAAATGCTATAAAACCCTGTGTGCGCAGATGAGTCAGTTTTGTGTGCGCAGATGAGGTCCCTACCGTTATATTTGGTGGATACATCTATGATATATCTATGGTATTCTGGCGGTGTTATAAGCCAAATTACGATTGGGGAGGGAACCACCTTGAACCACCTTGTATGAGAGTGTTTTTACGGACCACACCCTACCTCATCCCCTCAACTGCAGGGGTGGGGTAGTGGCCCGCCTGTCTGCCTAGTGTTGCACCCGGGTATTGAACCCGGGCCTGATGCATGAGGGATGCGTCTTAGCCACTAGACCATACCGGCCCTCGAACCACCTTATGTGTGTTTCAGGCATTCATATGCCAAGATCATCCCCGGTTGACCCCGCCATGACTTGACTGATCATTGCTCCAAGCCCATGCGCCAACGGCAGGAGGTTGGAGAAGAATCGCCCAAGACCACGGCTGAAGGTGTCGTGACACCTTGCATTTGATTTGGTTCATCTGGGTTCTGGATTCTAGATCAGTTGCCATGTATTTTCAGAAAAGCGCGCGACTGACTAGTTAGTGGTTTCAAATGCTGATGCTGATGTATTCCTTCAGGTATTTACATGTATTTACCCATCGGATCACATGATACTTGCCTGGCTGTTTGAGTAATTACTAATTACTAATCCCTAACTCCTTTTACTAAACGCACCCCAAATACTAAAAACTAGGGTCTGCGTTCAATTTTGGGAAATTTTAACTGGCCAATTTGATGTTTAATTGATCCCCTTTCGAAAACAAATTGAAAATGAAGGTCCCATTTGAGGGTTTCCTCCCCTAATGATAAAAACTAGTCAACCCTGGAGTGTTTTTTCTTGGGGTGCGTCTTTTAAGATCGAAAAGCGAAAAAATCGTTTTAGGGGAAGTTTCGAAATCCATTGCTTGGTAATATTTTAACTGGATTTAAATATCGATTCTGAAATAGTTGTTTTTGGTGTTTATCTAATATTAGGGGCAAGCTTCGCAATCCAATGTTTGGCAATATTATCTAATTAGATGTTAAAAGGAAATTTAAAGGATTTTGAAATAGACGTTTTTAGTTTTTATTTTGTTAAGGTTTTTAATTTTCAGTAATATCAGGGGAAAGCTTCGAAATCCAATCTTTGGCAATATTATAATTAAATAGATGTCACAAGGAAGTTTAATCCATTTAGAAATGGTGCTTTAGTTCTTCATATTAAAATTACTAAAGTTTTAAATTTACTATTAGGGGGAAGCTTCGCACCCTAATATTAAATACCCCCTAATACTAAAAACGCGCCCAGGTGTTTTTTTTTGGGGGGAGGGGGGGCGGTTTAGTAATAGGGGGAAGGAATTAAAAATGTTCCATCCTTGGATGATTCATCCAAGGTTTTGTGGGTTTGAAGTTTTTTAAGATAGTTGACCTTTTTAAGTGTTCTTCTCCTGTCTGTGAGAGACCTTTTGAAATTGTGCAGTTAGTAGATTTCTGGACTTTAAATTTTCGAATTCTCAGTCGTTTCACTATCGCGCGTTTAGACCTGTGCGCCACACCAGCAACGCCTCAGGGGATGATGGGGATCACTTCCGAGACAAGCTGGAAGCAATTTTGGCCAAGCACGTCAAGGTGGCAAGCTCCTTGTCGGGCCTGCGGCTGGACAATGTTTGAAAAGATCATTCAGAGAAGGTCTCCAAAATGTACACATGATAATCACCATCCTGTACATTCAAGAATATCAATCAATGTCGTAAAATCTACGATGAATAATAATATGGTCATATGGTGGTACTTGGCCATTTATACAGTTTTTCTTGTCAATAAAGAAGACATAATAATACAATACCAACTGACATGTAAACCAACTTAATGTCGTATTATGTCGTATTGATTTCATAAAGACGTTACCAATTTCATTTCCCTCTGGCAAACTGACATGACTACGGAAAATCACCATGTGTAACAGATAAATCAACGAACTAAATGGCTATGTTATGCAACGTTCATCCATTTTCAATTGCTGTGTTCGTTTCCCAGAGGGTATGCATCCCACGAATAGGGTCACTTGGTATCCTGGTCCCAACGTCCAGGCGAAGGAGGGCAGCGATCGTGCCAAGGAAGCCAAAGAGCTGGCAGCGCAGATGAACAAAACCCAGGTGGACGCAGACGCTCGTTTTGGGCTTCAAAGTGGTTGTTTTTCTTTAACGGCTTCCAAAATAAAATGATAGAAAAGATTAGAAAAGTAAAATCCCACTAAAAATTGTTGGAAATGACGTGTCTATCTTTTTGGATGTTCCTTGAAGATCAGATTCACCAGCCAAAAGCTGGGATTTGGCTAGCAGAAATGGGTGATTTCAGCAGCAGAATTTGGGACTTAACAAGCAGATGACGATGATTGAACAAGCAAAGATGATCGTTCAGCAGACAAAGATGGTGATTCAACCAACAAAGAGTCGTTTAACCAAGAAAACTGCAACTTAATCCATGGATTTGACCATCAAAAAATGTGACCCAACAGAGATTGGGGTTTGAGAACGGAAAATGTGCGTCCCATCCCAGCTACGGGACGTCAAAGCCAAGCGTCCGTTGAAGTTGCATGTTTTGATATTTTGGCTGAGTTGCATGGTTATGCTGAGCGGCCCAATTTGAAACCTTCATGGTTGCTAGATGATGATGCGATGTTTGTTTGCCCTTTGCCCCATTCTTCCGCTGATATGCATACCCCATCATAGCCCCAAATTTGAATCATGTTGACTCGTAATTGTCCCTATGAAGATTGCAAGGTGGTGCCCCAAAGCGTTAGTTCAGTTGGTGCAAACAGTTTCAATCACTTGGGTTTGTCATGGTTTGTAGATATATCATGACATTATCTACTTCCCATAGTTACCGTAGTTCGTCCCTCATGTTTTTTTTGTAGATAGATATATCATGATATTATCATGATATTACCTACGTCCCCAATCTTCCCCAAATCGTTCATGCAGAGTAGAAACTCACCAAACGAACCAACAGCTCCGCCATGGAGGTGACGCAGATCAAGGAGGTGCTGCAGCCAGAAGTCCTGGAACTGCAGCAGGCCCTGATGGCAGAGCTGCAGTCACTTGGTGGAAATCTAGGAAATTCATGGTACCATTGGGGATTGCAAGAAAAATACCCAGGGAAATGGATGATATTATATGGATATATCAATTAGATGGATATATATATATACCCCCAGGGATTTTCCTGATAATTATTGATGATATTATAGATTATTATGGATATATAATTAGATGATATCATATCTTTTCGGGGTCCCAGGTTTGAAACATGGACCAAGCGGCGCATGGCTGGTACCAAGGAACGAGCTGAACCAAGTCTCTCAACAGATCGAAGCTCCAGACAGGGATGACGCTTGTCTGATACACGAGTTCTGCCTTCGTGATCTGTGGGTTGTTGTGGGATTTAGATATCTGCAAATTTAAGATACTGTTACAGTAGTGTGAGACCAGCCAAGTAGACACACATTGCGTGAGTTTTGATTTTAGTGTTTGTTGCATGTTTCTGTGTGTTTTTGTGCTAGTGAAATCTAGCCAGAAGCTGCGTTTGGACGTACATGGTGTGCACAAAGCTACTTCATTATATGACACCCTGACTTCAAACCAGGTGTCTCACCCTTCGAACATGTTGCTCTTTGAATATCCTCAGAGATTCAGAAAGCCTTACCGCGTCGGTATGATCGAGAAACAGGAACGAAAATCAGCAGGTGTGTGTTCAATTTTGACTCCAAACAATCCCAAACCTAGATTGCCCAGTACTTTCAATCATTTTACCGTGATTTCCGAGATCAAAAGCTCCAAATTTCTGGCCTCAGGTCCCACAGGAGGAACAGCAGGAACTGCAAAGACGAGCAAACGCCCTGCAAGAGCATTTGCTGGCCGCTGAACCTGACACCAGTTCGATCTATGTCGTGTTTCATCCCGCATGAAAATAGGGATTAGTGATACCCAATATGTTTGGAATCCCTGATGATGGTGGGACCATATCCCACAAGTCTATATAAATCTCATGTTTTAAGCATGACACATATGGGTTTGTTTGAAAATGGATGAAAATGGTGCATATCGGAAGACCAATGATTGCAATTTCACTGCGGAAAACGGTGATAAACCAACGGGTGCATGAGGACAATATGTTCAGACAAATCCATATATTTGAGGCATGATTTGTCTATTGAAATATGTTTCAAGATACTGTATTTGAATGCTTGTGGTCACTGGTTTCAAAGATTTTGAGATTTCAATATGTTTTTTTTCCAACCCTGCATGGAAAGTGATGCTGCTGAAGCATCCTCCCAACCTGCAGGTTGTGCAAGCGATTTCCACCTTGCCGGCAGCCCATGGTGATGTTCTTTGGTGGCAGACTTGCAAGAGTCCTTCCTGTAACGGTGCATATAACAGCCATAAAATAGATTAAAGTATTATATTCTATATACATATAGTATACATAAAGACTATGTGCATAGACATATACATCTCATATCATGTGTTAAAAACACATGCACTCTAAGACGAGTTCCATGGAAAGAGCAGGCTCAACCTGTGCGCCTCGCTCAGAACTTGCTCCAGCTGGCCTTAGCGGAGATGGCCGCGGAGTCCGAGAGCCCATCTGCACACGCTGCGGCTGCGCGAAGGGTGAGAGAGAAGGCCGACTCGGAGATGCTTGGCAGTTGGTTTTGGGTGGTGCTGGCGCCAAAATGGGGGCTGACATGGTCGAACCATCAAGAATTGAGAGCAGAATTGGGATAGATTGGGAATGATTGGGATGTTTTCTATGAAAAGTCATGGGAGTGCTGCAACTAGCAAATTTTAGGATGTATGCAGGTAATTTGTTTACTTTTTGTTACGACCTCATTGGCTGACCTCATTATGAATGATACATGAAGGCATCCGAAAACTGGCTCATCTCAGGAACTATAACAAGACCGGCGTATTCAGGGGATTGACTTTCTTGGGTTCTTAGCATGGTTGAGTTTGGTGGAGTAAGATTCAGAGCAATGTGACGGAAGCATACGGAAGCAATTTGCAGTCAAGTTTTGGGTTTTGATTGTTTTGATTTAGGTCTGAGTCGAAGTTCAACTTACTGTGCTCTTCTATTCTTGATTTTTTAGACGATCTTAAGCGATCCAAAATTTGGGGTACACCGGCATACCGGTATACCCCAAATTGCGACCCTCGGTAATCCAAGGGCATCCCCACTGAGCACTCGTGGACTTGGCTCACGTGGCTCAGAGTCCTGGGCCAGCAATTTGGTGAAGCGCTTTCCGAGGCGGGAAGGGGGCGCTTTTTGAGAGATGGGAATGGGTCAAGTTACCTATAGATAATATGAAATTCATTGAAATTCTATATATGACTGGGGGAATAGCCATCCAGCATCATCCAGCTATTAACTGGGTACCATTTGGGTACCAAGTTTTGACCGATAACGAGTTGACCCCGGAGTGATGTTTGTATAGAGGAAATGTGTACGGAACCCTGATGGATGCTGATGCTCCGTCTGGATGTGTTCGAAGTCAACACCATTTTGTCGAAGGAAGCGGAGCGAGAGGGATGGAGCAAACCTCTGGAAACTAGAACTTCCGGAAACTCAGTTGTGATCTTCCTTTGATAGGACATGTTCACCCTGTTATTTGCAGTTGATTTTGGCACCTGGGAATGACATGCAGCTGATCGCTAGGCAAAACAGCCCTGCGAGCCCCCTATCTCCAAAGTCAGCAAAGACTCCACAGTCTCCAAAGCCGCCAATGGTATTCCGGGGGCAGGAGTGGGGTCGCGAGAAGTGGGATCAGCTTCGGATTGGGTCAGGACAGGGATACAGATGATACAGGAATATGGGGGACCCAACAGGCAATTTTATGAAGAGAAAAGGATCAATGAAGATCTTTTTGGATACCCATTTTCAGAAGCCAAATTGCGCTCCAAGGTTGGATCAACAAAAACATACCTACAAGTTTCGATTCAAGTACTGTGCACCTATTGTTCGGACATGTTTATCATTCTTACTTTGCACTGCTTGTTGTAGGTCTTTGGCGTTCCTGCTCCAAAAATGCTGCGAAATACCATACCACACATGGTATTACAAATTATAATCGATTGCATGGAAGCACTCCTAAATAGATAGAGAGAGAGAGAGAGAAATTTAGATAGATAGATAAGCTAGACAAACACATAGACAAACAGATAGACAAACAGATAGACGAACAGATAGACGAACAGATAGACAAACAGATAGACAAACAGAGAGACAGACAGACACAGACACACAGAGACACACAGACAGAGACACACAGACAGAGACACACAGACAGAGACACACAGACAGAGACACACAGACAGAGACACACAGACAGAGACACACAGACAGAGACACACAGACAGAGACACACAGACAGAGACACAGACACAGAGACACAGACACAGAGACAGAGACACACAGACAGAGACAGACACAGACACACACAGACACAGACACACACAGACACAGACAGAGACAGACACAGACAGAGACAGACCGACAGACACACAGACACACAGGCACACAGACACACAGACACACAGACACACAGACAGACAGCAGACACAGACACAGACAGACAGCAGACACAGACAGACAGCAGACACAGACAGACAGCAGACACAGACAGACAGCAGACACAGACAGACAGCAGACACAGACAGACAGCAGACACAAACAGACAGCAGACACAGACAGACAGACAGAGACAGAGACAGAGACAGAGACAGAGACAGAGACAGAGACAGACAGACAGACAGGTGCAGATATCATCATCATAGATATCATTGACAAAATTTGAAATGCAATGGATTTACGTACAAATAGATACAGACGTTAATGTATGTTATTCCAAAACCATAAATGTTGTACCGCAGAGCTTCCTGCATCAATCAGCTGATTTGATGATGCATTTTTCGATTCCCAGGAGAGCTTTCGCGCAGAAACAGCTTCGGATGAAGCAGCGCCTCTCTTTGAGGAGTCGGAAGACCAGGCACCCCGATTGAAAGACTGGGGTTTTGGGGTCTGGAAATGTGCAAAACAATGGACCATACAATGGGAATCAATAGGAATATACCAGCCGCCATGTTTCTTTATTGGATAAGGGATGATAAGGGTAAACCATCCAATCCTGGGGAATTGTTCGGGGGATAGAACCACCAATATGTGGTTCAAACCGTAGATTGACGAGGATACAATGGGAGATAAAGCTATGTGAGTGTCTCTGAAAATGGGATATGCCCCTAAATGGCAATTCTATTGAAGAAATGATGATAAACCCTTGGGTTTGGGGGTATTTAGTATTTGCATGCAAACCCATGTTAGTAGTAGGGGATAAAAACCGAGCAAAAAAATGATATAGTCTGGAAAGATTATAAGGACCTCACATCGTGATGTCACCGGACTGATGGTTTGTTGATGTGAGTATCCCGAAAATTGCAGGGAAGGGTTGAAACCACCAAGCAGGAGAGATTTGATTCGCTGGATTGGTTTGTTTGGGAAAGAACATCGTGAAGAATTGAAAAGAATGGTTCTTGTTGGTTCTTACAATCAAGGATGGGGCGTCTTGTAAGTTTCATGGACCTGAAGCCAAAGTCCGGGAAAGAGAAGACAGGGAAAATGTGGTAAACTGTGGTAAACTGTTGAATTTCTGGAGTTTTTCGAGGATCCCCCAGGTCCATCACGGCAGGCTAGCCATGGCCAGAAGTTATGGAAGCGCGGGAAGTTCATCGTGAAGTTCCTTGCAGGTGGTCATGGGATCATGGGGAACATGATGATCAATTATGAAAGGGTGTACCCTCTGGTAATGACTAACATAGCTATTGAAAATGGCCATTTATAGATATTTATAGTGAGTTTTCCCATGAAAAATGGTGATTCTCCATAGTTATGTTAAATTACCAGAGGGTACCGGGTTACTGGGGTGTCTTATTTTCAGACAAGCGAAATGGTGGTATCCAAACGGATGACATTATGACATTCACGAAGGTCTGAAAAAGAGCTGGAAGATCTCAAGGACTGAAAACAAGCATTCCTCATCCTTTACTAACTTTACCTGGTCGCAAGCCCACGTCACCCCGTGTCAGGCCTGAAAGGTTTTATGAAGCCCTCGGAGCACCACCACCAAGACCCCCAAGATGCTGGTAAACTGCAGCTGGGAAATGATGCAGACACGGAGAGCGAGGTGGGCCCTGGCGCACACTTGAGAAATGGAGAAATTTAAATTTGAGGTGCGTTACATAGGAAAAAGGGCGGAGAATAGGTAATGGTTGTCTAAGTTTCAGCTGTTGATAATTGCAAGATCAGGAAAATGCGTGTGTTCATGTTTGTTCAAAATGTTGGACCCCGGAATTTCAACGCTTGATGGTCTGATTGAGAGTCTGTGAGTCTGTGACCATGGTTGGGACTTCCTCCCTATGTATCCTTCATGTACCAGTCAACCGATCGGTAGAGACCACTTGAAATGTTCAGCTCCTGTCACCCCTACTGTTACCCGATGTTTCCCAGGTGGGCCTGGTTTACTTGTGGATTGCCAAAGTAAAAGAGCAAACTGATTCACGATGCGGAGTGGAAGGGTTGTACCAACCATGATACACAATGATACAACTCACGCAGCCCACCGAATGAATACAGTATATCCTAGAATGCCGTAGTGTCGCAAACCCAATAGTAAACCATCCCCAATGGGGGTTTATTACTCCCGATACCAGTAAGTAGGTTTGCGTAAAATGACCCCTTTTGTGGTTGGTTACTGAAATGGGTTTATTATTGGATTTGCCACTGGCTACCCCAGATTCTATTGCTTTACCATCGTGTTCCCCATTAACATAGCCATTCTTCATCATGTCCGGACAAAGCCACTGTCAATAATAAACGCAAAAATATGTCCCCAATAAAATAGTTGGCATGATACTATATTAATCTATATTATGCATGACTATACCATATCATAATAACATACAATAACATTATATGTGTATATATATATATATGTGCCCCCATTTTTCTGTGTCAACGTCCCCCATCCCGGCGCAGGCGAAAGTGGCTGCTATGAAGTTGCGCAAGCCCGAAGCCTGGGGAAGGACACCACAGGTCAATGAGGAGGAGCCCCAGATTGTGTTACTTGTTTCTCTTCGAGATAGAGATCGATAATGATAGATACATCATAAGCAGTCATAATCAATCATATACATATATATATATATGATTATATATATATATATATACATATATAATTATATACATATATAATTATATACATATATAATTATATACACATACATACAGCAATGCATAGATCTGAAATGATTTAGCAGCGCTGTTGCTCCTTCGACTTCGACTTCCTTGTGGCCCTTGTCTGGCAACAGGATCATCAGGAGATGAGTCTCTCTGGCTCTGCCACCGGCCCCAAGATTCTCGGTGTGAAACCTGGCGCGCGGGCAGCGGTTATATAAAAGATGCGAAGAAAATGGGATCATGTGGGAAAAACATGGAAAAACAATCATAAGCCACCCATTTGGGAATGGTTTATACTATAATAGCACCTATTTCTGGTAAAAATATGTAAAAATGGGGATGGTTTATCATTGGTTTTGCCAACAGTTTAAAAAGAATGCGACAATCCACACTTGTGTGGGTTGCCAACCTTCCAGGGTAACTGGTGTTACCCAGTGGGATGATAATTTGAATTGGGTTTAAGATAGTTATGGTAGATGGCCCATAGAAATTATAGAAATTACCCTCTGGTTATGTCAAAATAGCTATTGAAAATGGTGATTTATAGTGGATTTTCCCCATTGAAAATGGTGGATCTTTCCATAGCTATGTTAGTTTACCAGAGGGTAAATGGTGAACAGATGGTAAACATGATGATTTACCGTTCTTACTTGCGAACTGGTGATGAAACATCTTCGCTACGTAAAACCATTGGGGAAATCATTTGGGATACGATGGGATATACAACCAAAATGGTACACAATGAAGAAAATGATGATGAATTATTCTCAGTAAGCAGTGAAGTTAGGGGTATCCTATTTTCAGACGCACCGAAATATGCAAGTTTGAGGTTAGAGGTTTCCAAAAACTCATCGATGCGTGGCGAAGTTACAGTACACTATACTCGTATACTTCATCGTGATAAACTCAAAGGATTTGAATTTTTCAGGGATCGCTTGCAGTGTTTCAGATTGTTTCAGTTTCTTCTAGAAGCCTTTGATGATTCCCATATGATTCCCCTATCCACTGTAATTCAACGTCCGTGAAGCTGCGATGAGTTGCTGGGAGCTCTGACTCCAAAAACTGTATCCCCCACACCGCGAAAAACCCTCCGGTAGGCAGACATGGCAATGGGAAGTCCCCTTTTTGAACAAAGGAGAATGAAAGTTTGAATGGGAAAATCATATAAACATATATAAATAATGGATGTTCTATTGCCACGTTTGATGACACCTATTTGTGGCTTCAGTGGTGTTTAGTTTTTGACTCATACCCAAAGGAGTGGAGTTGTCGGAGCCACAACTTTCCCAACTTTCCACTGCAGGACTATAGGATTGCAGTATCATTTGTTGGGTGTGGATCCCTCATTTTGGACCTGGATTTTCCAACCACATCGCCTCGCCTAAAGTTTTCCATCAGGAAAGAGGTCCAGCCTAGTACGGAGCTCAGCCTTTCTCACCCCTGGAAAAGAACCCGCACAGTGTCAACGGTTGGTGCATTGCAGACTGCACAGTTCATGGTTCATGAGGTATGAGAGACAGAGATCAATCAGAGAGTTTTATTCTGTTGATATCTGTTTTTAAATGTTCAAATCTGTTGATATGTTCAAAGGATTTCAAAGGTTTGTGTTCTCCAATTTGGGGCGATTTCATGCGATTTCAACTCATGCTGCTCTCCCCACAGTGGCAGATCCTGCAGGTCCCTCACCCAAGACCGGAGACGCTCTTGTGCTTCCGGTGGCTAAGCTCAGTGGGGATACAAGGCATGGATTCTGATTGTCCAGGATACCAGGATTGGTACCGGGAACGGGGATCCAAAGATTAACAGGTTTCGGAAAGTCCGAAATCTGTGGTGTTCAAACCAAAACTGAATAGCGGCGGTCGGTGTCTTCTTGTAAAAAGGGGGTGGCATTTAATAAACCGCCACACTGTGGGTGTATAAATGTGGAGAATGTGGTTTGTCCTGAAACGGGGTGGTTAAACCAACCATTCATTTTATAGAGGTAGGGGACAGAGGGATATCAAACATCAATAAATGGGCCATGGCCACAAGAAGGGGATTCAACGTTTCATCATTGATATAGGGGGATATCATTGAGTATATATTTATATACAAGATTATACAAGCAGCAATATCATATTAGGTTTGATCCTCAAATGGTGGTTTGACCCTCGATTTATAGCATTTTGAATTGCATGTGTCTTTCAATCAGAGCCATATGTTGATGGTTCAAACATGTTCAAACCATGTACCAGGTTTTGATCTATAGCAACTGACAGATATTCGTCGCATGGGTCACCAAGTAGGGAAGGTGGTGAAGCTGAGGGCGCGAGAAGAAGGGGCGGCGATCATGAATTATAGGATTGAAGAATTCAAGGTTCTGTAGCTATTCTATGAGTAATTCAACATTTCAATCTTTACGGAGCAACACTATGGCATATATTAACATGTTTCAGACTCAGAGTTACTAGAATTGTATAATATTTGTTGACCATATTGCTCCGCTACTGTAGCACTTGGCACCCTGGAACCAAGGAGAGACGCAAAACGTCCGTAGACGTGGTCGATATCGATTCACTGGCATTTTGGTTGCAGCAAATCGACACAGAAGGAAGATTTGCAGCGCCTGCTGATTGCTGAGCTCATTTGACATGGATGTATCTTGGAAATCCTCGAACTAAATGAAGGTTCAAAAAGCTGGAAAAGTCCTCGATCATTCATTGGAGGATTTTCCATAGCTATGTTAGATTACCAGAGGATACACCCTAAACTGGCCACTTAATTACCCATAAGATTCCCATAAGTATCCATACGTGCGTTCTGTCTGTGTGTAAGGTCGGGGTCTCTTTTGGTGCATCATGCTGCCTCGCTGGCCACCAGGTTGCCATTGGTCAGTCTTTGGAGGCCGAAAGGGATGAGGAGGTAGACAATGATGAGGCCTGGTGTGAGGCGTTGATGTAAACGGATGTGTCGATATCGGAATTGGATTCTGAAATAGATCCGGTATACGGATGTATACGCTATAGCCGCAGCCTCAAAATGGATCAAAATGGATCAAAATGGCAAAAATCTCCCCAAGTACCATGATTTTCCCACGCCGACTTGGGTGATTTCCCATGACACCGCAACGGGATCGGGGTTTCGTGATCCCATCCAGGACTACTTGGAGCAGCCGGGCCCTGCCTGGGTCGATTCCTGGGTGCAGTCCGCAGAGGCTCCCCCGAAATGTCGAATGGCACGATTCACCAACATGTACCATTGGATTTAACTATGATTTAACCATACTTAACCAACATTTATGCATAGTATGAAATAGATTGAAATATATTGAAATAGTATGATGTAAATCCAATGGTGAATGTATGTGAATGTTAATCCATGGGCCCAAATATGTGTAGACCCCTGCAAAAAACCATGCTTCACAGGGGTCTCGGAGATCCAACAGGACAAGTTCTTCTCCGGCATCCCACCACTGGCAAGTGGCGCTCTGGAGAATCAGAAGGCTGGAGGTTTGTGTTAGTTGGGAAGGTCCAGGGTCCGAAACAGGGAATTTTGATGAATTTTGGGCCATGCTCTGAGACGTGTGGGAAGTTCAAACATATCGAAAATGTGAGGTTTCTAGTTCGCTCAGCGCACCCAAGTTAATTTTTCTGATGAGTAAAAGCCAGAGAAGTACAGTTCGTATTGCTCACTCAAAGTGCCCGGCGAATTGTTGGCACCGGAGAAGGAGTTCAATTCTGACACACTCTGTTGCACACTCTGTGTCAGTGAGAGATGCTTCAGGATGTCATGGTGTTTACCATGGTTCTACTGGTAACTTGGTGGGTGGCTTTTACGCCCAGTTCTCAGTCTAAGTAGGGTAAGTACAGGATGGGCCCCCCAGTTATAAGTTGGTTTATATACCATTATATGTAACCCCCATGAACTATAGTTACCATAAACCATGCTTAAGCCACTTTTCTAAGGCAACTTAGCTATCTTGGGGGGCAAATCCTGTAGGGCTAGTCGACTTATAACTGGCCTTACAATCCATGGTTGGGTGAAGACACAGCTGGCTGTTTCCGGAGGTCCCTGCGGAGCCTATGGTGTCCATCCTGTCATTGCAAGCGGAGGGAACCAATAATAAAGGACAGTCAAGTTGAGTGGTTGGGGCCCTTGTCAGCTCGGGTATCAGCTCCATGTGTTGGAAGAGTTCAGGCTTGGGCAAGTCCGAAAAATGTGGGAAGTATAAACTGAATTAAACTGATAGACGATGATTTATAAGACCTGTATAAACCAGATACGGCACCCCGCAACAACAAGTTCCTGTCAGTCCCGTCAACTTTGGGGGTTGAAACTGCCCAACCTTTGATCTGGATTCATTGCCCCCCTGACATTGGTAGGTTAAAAGCACCACATTTGGTTCCTGCGTTTGCTTGGTCATATCTCCACCAATCTGCTGAACCACCAAAACTATTTGAGATATTGATTCTATATGTTCCACGGGAGCGCATTAAATATTGGAACTTGTATTTAAGGGTTCTCCTGTTCTTCCCCATCTAATCCATTTTGGGATTGCCAAGGCATTACTTTGGAGATTATCCAATGATTCCATTCGCTCATACTCGTTCGAGAACCCATAATAATTCTTTTCACCAAGACTTTTTGTGACGGTCGTAAAATGGGTTTGTCTGAAAATAGTTACCCCGTAACCCAATGGCTAACAATAATTGTCCCTATCAAATGGCTATCATTGGGGTGTATAGTGTACGCTGTAACAGTATATATGATATATTATTATACATACTATATATACGTGTATATATATATATAAGTATATCATAAAAACATAACCATTTAAAAAGGGAAAGTGATAGTTAACCGTTTCCAATTACAGCAATTTCGTGCAAAGACACCAGGGTTGCAGGAGCTGGAAATCGAGGGCTCAAAGGCTCGAATCCCCGCCGCGGCGCCCCACGTTTCATCCGAGACAAGGCACCCCTGGTTGAGTCAACGCGTTGCGAAGGAGATCGATCTTGATGCTGACAAGATTCTAGATTATCTAGATTCTAGATTCCAGATGTCTCGGGATAAAGCTTATTTGGATTTATTTGATGTCAAAGTGACAGTGCCTTTTTTTGGATCATTTAATTATCTATCCAAGCCTCCATGCTAGGGCTCAAAGAAGAGCCACGCTTCCAGGCTCTTGCACGGTGGGAGGGTAGGTTCTTCCAAAGCTGCGTCTGAAAATGGTGGAGTTCAAGAATATTTCAGCCCTGAGTTATGGCCATTTCAACAGGGAAATTTCTGATTGCCCGGTGGATGGAATGGGGTAACCAACCCCTCGCAGTTCAGTGATCCCCCAACAATAGATGGTCAAGATTGAATCACCCCTATCCTGTTTGGTGGTTGATCAGCTCATAATTGAAGCTTCTAATTCGAGGAGGGTCAGCTTTGGGGGGATTTGTTGTTTATCCCCATGAGAAAAATGCTATGTGTAGATGGGATTTCACTTGCAGGATGATGCCGCGATGGGTGAAAAATCATGGCAACATATGGAAATCAGAAACTGGCATGGATATTATCAATGTCAGGGTCAATTGTTTGGAGCTGAAATCCACCCATATCCACCTTGCCTAAGCAGCAACATGTGCATTGTTGAGACGTCAGAGAAACCGCCCCTGTACAAACATGGTAGGTCTCTGGTCCTGTCCCCTCCTATCCCTGGAGAATGCCTCAGGGGGACCATCCCCGAAATTGAGGCCTGAGGAGAACGTCCTCATGGATTTTGGAAAGCCCAAGAGTGTGAGCATCCGCGAGGCAGGATGCATGGTGCTCCAGTGCTCCAGTTTGGAATGGTGACCCGACCCATATAAAAAGAATCTGCATTCCAAAATCATCCAAAAACCAGGGAAACCTGAAGCTTTACGTTTGCCATGATTGATCCAAGTAGTCGCGATGGATTCCTGGAGGCTTATAAGTTGGTCGCTGCCTGTCGTGCTTTTGGCAGGAGCCGGAGGAAGTGGCAGTTCCTCAAGACATGCAGCAAGAGCCAAGGTGCATGGGTTTTCTGAGTTCCTGCACTTTCAGATGGGTCTGTCCTGAAAATGAAAAATAGATGATTATGGGGGATTGTATTATCCAATATATTGGGGATCATCATAATCCATCATGGGAAATCCTTTTAATCAGCCAGTTTTTTAAGGGACTGCAGAGGGTTTTGAACACTGTTCAATTGTGATGATCTGTGATGATGTTGATGGTAGTAAAATAAGGTCGACTCAAAGCCTGTCCCATGTTCCTGCTGCCAGCCATTGGAACATATTTTGATATATATGTATATATGTATATATATATATGTATATATATATATGTATATGTATATATATATATAGAGAGAGAGAGACTATAGAAACCAAACAGATTCTCCAACTATAACACTGATTCATCATCACTTTCCGCATGAAACCGTTAAAATTGCCATTTGGGGTAGCTACCTGCTACCTAACTTCAACGTTTGTCACTGGTGACTTTTCACAGGTCAGACACTCCGGACGAGCGACCAGTCGCACCAGCTCAGCCGCTTCATGATGCGCCAGATGTGGAAGCGACGAAGGAAGATGCATCTGGGAAGGCAGTGGCTAAGGCTAACACATTCCCAAAAAAGATAGAAAAGTTAAGTAAGATCCTAGGAAAAATAATGGTAACTATTGGTAACTGACATTCTATCTTTATTTTTGGGGAATGTTTGAATTTCACAAAAATTGCCCAAGACCCCTCGCAGCACTTCTTTGAACTGTGGGAGTGATTCACATGAAATGCACACCGCTACCACCACTACCCTATCAGATTTCCGATCCTAAGGCACTCGTTGCTGAAGAAATATCCACGGATGAGCTCAGGTGGGAAGATGTGGATGACTTCAGTGGGACATCCAAAAGATCAATGGACTACAATAGTTGACGGTTTCAAATTTTTCAAGTGTCTTCCTGTTTTTGATCCCCGGACGATCGAATGGCCTTGTGCTGCAGATGTGGCCGCAGCTGCAGCCACTGTCTTCCAACTGCCAGGGTCACCCCTTGTTGTCGCTCCATTGCTGGGCCACGTGAAGATTCACAGAGTCAGACAGTCAGCAATTCTCTCAAATTAACAGATCTCTTAGTAACTTAGTGTCTGAACCAGCTGACATTTTTGGAGCGGCCCACGTATAGGCCACAACAAAACCACAGCACAGTATCCAAATACAGCAATGGAAGGTGATGTAAAAACACCGAAATCCCACATTGTTTTGATGGGTAGATGGCCTGAAGTTTTTGGGTATCTGAAGAAATTGCTTTTTGGGGAGAGTCTAGACGTTTTGTTTTTGTACCGACACTTTTTGAATAAGAAATCTGGGAGCCAAGGATGGAAAAATATGGTATACCATCGTATATTGTAACATGGTATACCCCAAAATGGCAGGTTCTATGGGGAAAAATGATGATCAACCATTGAATTCGTTGCTATCCTGTTCTTGGACACACCTATTTTGGCAAGGCCCATCCAACCAGTGTTGAGTGCATCGCCGTAGGCGGAACAGTGACGTGAGTTCTGGCCCTGAAGAGGCTCCGCTCAGTTGTCAATCCCGGATTAAGAAAGCCCTGTGGGGACTAACGTGGAAGAATCAGATTCGGGGGTATCCCCACATAATTAATCAACCATATAATTGGGGGTTGGTATTACAACTTGTGATCATTATTAATAGAATTTACATGAAATTACATCAATTCATTGTCAATTTGCTCTGTTCCCTGCCTCTAAGCTGGCTGTGTGGTGCCCAGATCTAAAGAAGTGAAGTGAACCGAAATAAAAATGTGCTTGGAACAATTGTGAATCCAAATATCACTTGTTGATAGTTACGATAGTTGTCCTACATGGATTCTGGATGGTTTTTATCCTAGAAGGTTCACATATACTCAATCAAGTGGACAGCCGACAATCAGCCTCGGGTGTGTCTGAAGATGGCACCCAAATGACCCGAACCCATTCATATCCATTCATTTCCGATGGCTGTCCTGCTTGAGCTACACGGTGAAATGGTGGATTTGGGTCGTTTGGGACATACAACAGCATCGCAGGAGCCAGAGCAGCGACGGGATGCGGAAGAAGGCGAGTCAGCTCACGATGTAGGAACGCTTTAAACCAATGTGTCCCAGGGGTAACGGTTAATGGAACATATGGCAGTATGATGCAGTATGTATCCGTATGTTGTGTTTGGCCCTCCTTTTTGCCATTTTTGGGGCCATGCTCACAAGATGCATATTCGAAGCTGGGTGAGTTCCGGCGTGAGTTCGTTTTTGTTGGGGGTCTTTTATGGTTTTACTATGTGTTTGCTAAACACCCTTGTTACCATTGTTTGGGAAGAAGAACAACTAAACTAAACTATCACTTGTGCGTTTCTCAAAAAATGATATTGAATGTGCCCAATCATTGTGATCCCCGGGCCCGTTTTGGACCCTTGCTGGTCTCCCGTGGTCTCGACCAGAATCTGATCATGTACTAGCACGACATCCTTCGAAGACGGCGGTTGGAAAACTGTATCGCCAGAACTCCAAGGGAAGCAAGCTGGACATGTTGCTTCGCAGCCGCTTGGATGATTGTGGGTACCTCTTTGGACCTATGGCTGGTCATTTCTGGTACTGAACTGTCCGCTTGTTGGTGAACAAGATTCCCATTTGGGTATATTTGGGTAGGGTCCCAAAGTTTGGGTTTCCCCCAAATTTTCGGACAGACTCAGTTGAATCTGAATGGTGATTGGAAGTGACAAGCCATCACTTCAAGTCTCAACTGCAGGAGTCAGGGACCCAGGGAAGGCCAGGTGGTTTATCCTAAGGGTACCACCCTTGGATCCAAAGATTCTGCATGGACCATGGATTTTTTCCTCCGTCGCCAAGGTCGGTCTTTCCGCTCTGGCACCTCCTTGAATTTGACGGAGCCGGATGATGACGATGATCGTGTCATGGCCAAACGGAGTGAGGTAGAGTTGAGGGGTCTAAGTATTGGGGAATGCCGGGTATGCATTTCACAGAGTACCCTTGTATTGTTGGAATTTGTTTGAGGTGTTTCAACATGTTTTAACATCCGTAGTTGTTGTATTGGTTTAATTATTCTGGTTAAACGTTGACTGTGTTGGCATGTTGGCATGTTGGGTATCATGAATCGCTGCAAAGTAAATGGCGTCGTCCAGAGAGGTTGCGCGTGAGGCACTTGATTTGCTTGGGAAAAGGGTCCATCCCTCAATTTGCAGGCGATCTATTTGGCTTTCCGAATGGGCAAATGTGATCAAATGTGTAGGAAGACCTGCAAGCATCGAGTGGTAAACGGATGATAACGGCTGAATGTGTATTGATGGCTTTCATGGGTACGGTCGCAACTGGCATGCAGCACATCGCAGCAGCTTTCTAGATCAAGCACATAATGAGCCCAAGACTTCAAGAGGGGCAGAGCATGAATTTCATTGATTTTCTACGATTTATAGGCCTGCAGCTTCAAGCGTGTCAACGAGATTGCACCGACCGTAAAAGTTTTAAGGTGTGTTCCTAAGTCCTACAACTTTTGAGCATAGCAAGGGAAAATTGAAGCCAAGACTGACTCACATGCAGGCTGGCACAGCCCTTGGTAGACTGCCATGACATTTCCACCGCGGATGCGACATTTGGGTGCTCTTCCAAGAGCCTATCGGCTCCGGCGTCCGGGGCTAGCTTGGCTATGTCTCGGCTGTTTGCTCACGTTGCTGGTACGAAATGATTGGCACCCCACAAGGGGCACGCTGGCTCAGTCAACAGCTTTCATCAGTCCAAATGCTGGTCCTCCGCAGCAAGTTCCATCCCTCTCCCAGAGCCGAGCAAAAGCTTGGGGAGATGTGATGGAAACACCAAAGCTGGAGGCCAGTGATAGAGATTTCAGTTTGCTTCTGGCATCGCAGTTTCCAGTTTTCGTGGCAGTTGGGGCATTGATCCCCGTGCTACCATTATATGGCCAAGAGTTTGGGCTCTCACAGAGCTCCGTTGGTTTGTTGGTGTCCTCACCCAGTTTGGCCAAGCTGATTCTGAACCTTCCGTTTGGTCAACTGGCTGACAGCCTGGGGCGTCGAGTTGCTCGTCCTGCGAAGGTGATGATCATGATTAGCATGTTGAATCTGAATTAGTCTATATTGATATATTGATCTAATTTAAATTATATATATATAATATATGATATATGTTATAAATTTTGTATAATCTATGAATTAATATAATATATATATAGTATTTTATAGTAATATTATTGTAATATTATTGTATTATTATTGTAATATTATTGTAATATTATTGTAATATTATTGTAATATTATTGTAATATTATTGTAATATTATTGTAATATTATTGTAATATTATTGTAGTACTATTGTAATATTATTGTAATATGAATCTGCTATGTTTCATCATGTTTGATCTACTATGTATGTAGGGACGTATTTTTTATTATTGTTGTAGATGTTTGTTCCTGAGGTCTTGATGGTTGGTGGCATGAGTTTGTGCGCCATCGCGGATGTTGGTACGGGCTTGGCTTCCAGCCTTCCTTTCCTCATCGTGGCGCGATTGTTGTTAGGCGCTGGCCTATCTTCCAGCGACGCCGGCTCCTCTGCGTGGGTAGCAGATGCCACTGTGCCTTGGCATCGAAATGTTCAACCGTTTTAGCATTGAAACCCGTGGTGACTTGGGGTACCTACATTTTTTGGACACCTCCTGACAGGTATAAAGAATTATAAAGATGTGTATAGTATTGTGATGTATTGTGAAGGTCTATGCATATGGGATGATATATATATATATAGATAGATGCAGAGAGTAGTGGACATGTTCAAGACTCCGTTGGCACTGTCACTATCACAATTTTGTTCATCATGAGCCGAGGGAAAACCACACTTAGACGTTTCAGGAAACGCGCCCTGAGACGCGAGCATCATTCTTGGGCGTCCAAAATGCTGTCATTGCTTCTGCCTTCGTGATCGGCCCCGCAGTGGGTGGCTGGTTGGTGGGTGAATTTGGCATGCGCTCCATCTTCTTCGTGGTGGCTATCGGTGCAGCCACCTGTGCAGCTGGATATTCCTTCCTGCCCGAATTGAGGGGTGCCAGGACGGCTGAGGATCGAGAAGCTTCATCCTTTCAGGAATTGTTGAAAGCACCAGAGCAACAGGCAGGGACCTTGATATCGGATGATATCGGATGATTAGAATTCTATGGTTTTGTGTTCAACTTTTAAATCTCTTTGATTGTTTGGGATGTTGTGCCCATTTTCCCGGTGACATGACTTTGCCTCCATCAATTCCTTCAAGGCACATGGGTTTGTCTGACAATACCCCATTCCCATTCCATCCACTGATTAGTCATCATTGTCCCCGTTAAAATCCCTCTGAGAATTTCCTCTGTAGACAATCAAACAACTCGAGTTGTCCAAAACCCATCATTCTGTAGAGACTTTAATCTCATTAAGATTCAATTTTGAGGGATCAACAATTCCCATGTTTTCAAAACCCGCATCCATCCATATCTCCAGATGTTTTCTGATCGCCCAGTTGTGCTAATGCCCGAAATGAATGCATCCAGTACTTCATACAGGTTTCCTTTTGGGATGTGTTTAAAGCTAGGGGAATGGGCTGAATTACCCTGGTTCATAAGTCCCCAAGTGGGATTCTCCATGATTCTCCAATTGATAATTAATAATTGTTTTTTTTGGGGGTTTGCAACCCCCACTTTCCAAGCCAATCTAAGCATTTTTTCATATAGCAAGCCATCCCAAATTCATCAGCCACGCTTTCCTTCGGCGAGGCCCTTGCAGCCATCTCTGTTGCGTTTTATGCTGGCACCGCCTGCAAGATCAGTTTGCTTCCCACCGTGGCGAAGGAAGTCTTTGATGCGGCGCCTGCAGAGGTGCGAAGGGCGTCAGACGTAGGTTATGAAAGTTATAAGGACATGATATGATTACACGGGTGCATCATGGTGCATCACTCTTGGTGAAACATGGCTAATTGAGCTTGTAGAAAGGGGGTCAGTCAGCATCATCACTATTTCATACTATTTCACCGCTTGAAGAGATAGCGAGCTAGATGTCTAGGGGACTGGGGTTGACCCATCAGGTAGGTCAACTCTTCTCAGCTTTAGCCGCGCTGGCCATTTTTGGCACACTGGTCGGTGGACGTTTGGCCGATGCAGTTGGTCCACGAAACATCCTGCTGGTTTGCGGAGGGGCGTGTTCAGCAGCATATTTTGGTGCTGCCCTGGCCACAGAAGCTCACGCCAAGGCTGCTTGGTAGGTACAGTATTGAATCTCAACAGGCTCCCAGATTGCTAGGCCAAAGCCTTCCCATTTATCTATAGACATCGGGAAAGAACTCAAAGCCCCAAATAGAGGGAACTGCAGTTCTTGCGTGGTCAGTGGTAGATCCCCACTTGGCTAAATCCCTTTATGCCGAATTTGGTGTTAGATTTCAATTTAGCTGGATAAACTTCTATTTTTTGGTGTTCCGTATATAGTAACCCCCCCAAAGACAGAAAAGTGAGAAGCCTGGAAATATGAAGTAAATATAATTAATCTACTATACATCGTGAAAACACTTTTATCAACTCAATTTTATTCAGGGTTTGTCAGGAAACAGACCCTATTCCAGTCACCACCTGCCATGTATAGGCTAGCATGTTGTACATGAGAATTCATTTAAGACTTATGGCCATGACTTTGGCTCAAGCATCAGCGTGATAGGAAAACAAGCTGCTTGCTGCATCTTGGGGCTGTGCGCCCCGCTTTCATGGTAGCGGAGCCTTCGGGCTTAGCACTCTGCGGTTAGACCCGCGGGTGCTGCTGGCTGCGGATTGCCCCGCGCCAGCAGTTGGTTGCGGGTCAGCCCCGCACCAACAAGTGGCTGCGGGCTAGCCCCGCGCCACAGCCAGTTGCGGGCAGACCCGCACTGGCAAGACGGCTCCTAAGAAGAAGCCGAACAAGCGTGGGAAGCGCTCGGCAGAGCGCACTGAGGCCCGGCAACAAAGGGGCCAAGAAAGAAGGAGGCTCGCCCAACAGGAGCGGGTCGAGACGAGTTATCCCGAACTAGTAGGGGGAGCCAGTTCATCTCGGGAAGCCCCCACTAGGACGGTTGTCGTAGAGGACACAACCGGCCCGAAGCCAAGAGTAAGAAGGACTCCCAGAAAGAGGGTCAGAGAAGAAGGGGGTGTACGAGTGAAACGCCTGGGTGTCACCCTCATCAACCTAAGGGAGCGGGAAGCACCGCCCCTTAGACTCAGGTCAGTTGCAAGGGCCGGGACAGGTGCCAAACTCAGGTCAGCTCCAAGACGGGAACAACATAGAAGGCAGGTTCGTGAGAACTACGCCGAGGGTGCCAAGGCGATCCAAGCAGCAAGAGGAGTCTGGCATCAAAGGAGGTTTGCCCAACGAGTTCAGCTGACAAGGAGCATTCGAGCTCTTACACCAAGAGGCACCGTCGGAGAACAGGTGCGCAGGCAACTTTCTGAGGAGTGCTCGAGTTGTGACGAGCGTACCAAGAAGAACAGACCAGAAGCTGCAAAGTTTGCCAACAAAAGGCTCAAGAGGTTGACCTTTGTCCCTGTCAAGCCTGAGTTGACACCGCTATTGCAGAAGTACCACGTTCCAACGACCAAGAAAGCTAAGAAGAAGGTGGTTGAAGAGGACGACGAGCCGGACACCACCAACCCTGTGAATAAGAAGAAAGATGGACCCCCAGATCAATCAGATGGAGATGGGGACAGCCCAGATTGGGGAGCAGATGACAGCTGTGCTGCAGCAGTTGCAGCAAACTAACAATCTGGTTGGGCAGATGTCCCAAAGAATCACCTCTCAGGAGGAGCAGATCCTGAGAATGCAAGCTGAGAGGGCACGTGCAATCTCCATCAACACAGTTGAGGAGGTGCCCAGGAATTCTAGCGCAAACGCCGCTAGTTCCTCAGGTTTTGGAATTGTGGACACCAGAACCTTGGGGAAACCAGAAGTATTCAAAGGGGATGCAACAGAGTTCCCCGATTGGTGTTTCATCTTCAGGTCATACATGTCTTGCATCAACGTTGCATACAATGACCTGATGGACCGGGCTGAGAGAAGCCAAACGCCATTGCCCAACAGAGCGCTCTCAGAAACAGAGAGGACACTCTCAGGCCAGCTGTACTTCGTGCTGGTCATGCTGCTGAGGAACCGGGCATTGGACATAGCCTACAACGCTGGAGTGTCAGAGGGCATTGAGGCCTACAGGAGACTCTACCAGCAGTATCACCCCAAGGTGGCGTCAAGGTTCGTGGGGAGTTTGTCCCTCATCTTGGCCACTAAGTTTGGCACAGACATCGAGGCCGAACTCGAGAGCTTCGACAAAACAGTGCGCCGGTACGAGATGGAGTCGGGGAAAACCTTAGATGAAGAAATACTTTTGGGTATAGTAATTCAAGGGGTTCAGGACCAATCAATGAAAGAACATCTCATCAAGAATGCCGCACGTCTCAATACGTATGAAGCTGTCAAGACTGAATTGTTGGAGATGGCTAGGACTAACCGTGTCCTGCAGTCCATGCCGGTTGCAATGGAAATTGGTGCAACCCCCAACGCCAAAGGAAAAGGAGGTAAGAAAGGTAGTAAAAAGGGTGATGGAAAGAATTCCAAAGGTGACTCCAAAGGCAAGGGTAAAGGTACCCAACAAGCCCCACAAAATCCAAACAAGGACAAATCCTGTTTCTACTGTGGTAAGCAGGGGCATCTCAAATCAGAATGCAGAAAACGTATCAGTGATGAAAAGAATGCCCAAGGTAAAGGTAGCAGTAAGGGTAAGCCAAAGGCCAAGGCTAACCCCGGGAGCGGTAAGCCCCGCCCCAATGCTGCAAGTCCTGATGATGAACCAGAACCACTCAGCGCCTACCCTGAGGAGACGCTCATTGCAGCTGCCGTCAACAATGGCACGCAGGAGATTTTGGTGGACACCGGGGCTGGAAGTCACTTGTTTGTAAAAGGGTTTGATAGCCATGCACGTTCAGTTTCAAAAGGGTCAAACGTTGGTATGGTTACGGTTACTGGTCAACCCTTAATCACTGGGGAGTACAAGAAAAGCACCATAAACACAGATGCTGGGAAATTCACGATCGAATACGCAGAGTCTGACAAGATCAACTTCTCAGTGCTCAGTGCTGGCAAGGCGGCACAAAGAGGCACGTGGACTGTGATTGGTCCAGACGCTCAGTTTCTTGTCCCCAGCAAATCCAGTGAATTCATCAAAGCAGCAATTGAGAAGACCCCCAACAAACTTGGGTTGGTAAAGAAAAGGGGCGTTTATTGGTTGCCGGTTTCACTTGAAAAGGGTTCAACCGGTCATGATGACAAGCCCTTAGCAACCATGGTAGATAAAAGCCCTGGAGGGGTAGCGGGTAATGCCGCATCCCAAAGTGCGGGTAGCACCGCCAGCTGTGTGGGAAGCCCCACCGGCCAGGACGTGATGGCAGCCATCAGACCTGCCAAGAAAGCTGTTCCAGCGGAAGCGTTGGAGGAAGAGGCGCGAGAACCGGGTGCAGTTGGGGAAATGGAAGTAGAGGACCCCCAACAAGTTGAACCCCCTCTCCCTGAACTTGGGGAACCGCCTGCTGAACCATCTGAACCAGCAAGGCCAGTAAGAGCCAAGAAAATCCCAGATACGGTCACCAAAGCCGAGTATGACAACCACATGATTACACACCTTCCTTTTAGAAATTGGTGTGAGTTTTGTATGGCTGGAAAAATTCGTGAGGATAGTCACCGTAGAAGAACTCCAGGAGACGACAAGGAAGTCCCCAGAGTTTCAATGGACTATTGCTTTTTGGGCAGAGTTCTTGACAACACCAAGTCTGAAGAGACAACGGTGGCTGAGTTGAAAGAGCCAACAGAAGAAGCAGAAGGAGTCATGCCCGTTTTGGTAGTCACTGACGAAAGAACAGGCTGCGTTTTCAGCAGCGTTGTGCAAAAGGGAGTGAATGATCACGCCGTCAATGTGGTAGTAGAAGCTTTGAAGTTTTGTGGTAGACAGAAAGCCATCCTGCAAACAGATGCCGAACACAGCATCAAAGCACTTGCAGAGGCATCAGCCGTGAAGTATGGCAAAGAGGTGCAACACCAAACTGCGCCACGTGAATCTCACGCGTCCAATGGGGCCGCTGAAAGGGCGGTACTGGAGCTCTCGCGACAGGTGCGCACAAACGTGAACGCACTTGAATCAAGGTACAAGGACTTCAAGCTGAAAGTTTCCAGTGTTTCATACCCGTGGCTTGTACGCCATTCAGCATGGCAATTGACCAGATTCCTGGTGAAGGCAGATGGGAAAACCCCATATGAACGACTCAAAGGTCGCGAATACAAAGGTGAAGTTGTAGAGCCATTTGAAACTGTGCACTACAAACTTGCGCAAGACGCCAAAGGCAAGCTGGACGCTCAGAGCGCCATTGGCATTTGGGTTGGAAAATCCCTGCAATCCGACGAACACTATGTCGGAACAGCAGACGGCATCCGTCGCTGCAGAAGTGCATGGCGCAGGCCAGAAGGGCGACGATGGGAGCTGAAAAGATTCGAGGCTCTCAAGGGCGTTCCGTGGCAACCCAAAGGCGAGCCAACCTTGATGCCAGGAGCCCCAGGCACACCAAGGATTGCAGCGCCAGGAACACCAAGCGGACGCGCCCGAGGAGTGTACATCACAGTGGAACGGCAGATTCGCCATGGATCCACAGAAGGATGCCCAGGCTGTCACAGCTCAGACGACAACCCAAAGCCACACAATGCAACATGCCGAGCAAGATTCGAAAAGATCATCGCCGAAGAGCGAGCGAAGGCACAACAAGGCGAAGGAAGTGCCAGCGCGCAAGTTGAAGACTTGGAAGCGCCAGCGGCCGACAATTCCTCGTCATTGTACCGCGCCAAGCGAGAGGCAGCGGGAACCGCCGCGCCTCAGGGAGTTGCGGGAGACTCCGCACTCTCAATCGCACCAAGGATCGCGGGAAGACCCGCATCCTCAGCTGATCCTGCGGGAAGCACCGCGGCTTCAGCAAGTGCCAAAAGACCCACAGAAGGCACACAAGAAGCCCAAAAGAGGCTGAAGGCACCAGATCCAAAGGGAAGCAAACGAAACCCTGAGGTCAGTGTCCAAGAGCTGCAAGACGCAGAAGACATCTCAACATTGCTGCTACAGCAAGACGAAAGCACGCATGCAGAAGAGAAAGGCACTTTGCCTACACTCCATGACGTGCCACTCGCAGCAATTTTTGAGGATTCCCTCCTCGCCGGATACCCAGAGTGGGGAAATGTGACATCAGCTTTCGACGAAAGATCAGGCGAAGCGCTGCCTCTTGAAAAGGTCAAGACCGCTAGGGGCAGAGAGCTAGACAAGATGATCGAGCACAATGTCAAAACTGACATTACGTGGGAGGAGGCCAGACGACGTGGATTGAAGATAGTCCGTAGTCGCTGGGTCGACGGATGGAAAACCATCGACGGAGATCCAAGAGGTGTGAGGTCCAGATGTGTAGCCCAAGAGGTGAACACAAGTCCTAGAGAGGACGTACACTCTGGAACCCCACCGCTGAAAGCTCACAGGATGATTTTGTCCTGTGCGGCAACCAAACGCAAAGGACAACATCAGCACGACAAGCTGATCGGACGTTACGACGTCAGTGTGGCATTCTTCCATGCCACATCCACCGGCAAAATCGCCGTGGTACCGCCGGATGATCTCAACGATCAAAGACACCTATGGTATCTCAACAAGGCAATGAATGGAACTCGCGAAGCGAGCCGCCAATGGTCCGAGTTTGTAGACGGAACTGTGACCAGGAAAGGCGGATTCAGCAATGTGCCAGGAGTCCCCGGAGTGTTTTATCACAAGGAGTGGCAAGTCACAATGAGTTGTCATGGGGACGACTTTCTGGCCGAAGGCCGAGCGGAAGATCTCGACAAATTGGATGAGTTCATGCTGCAACATTTTGAAATCAAAGTGTTGCCGCGAATCGGCAATCCTGAGCACGGAGGTCAGTGCCTGGAAGGAGACCATCTGCGCAGAGCAATCAGGTGGACAAAAGAAGGGTTCACTTGGGAAGCAGATCGCAAATACGTCAAGCTTTTGACAAAAGAGCTTGGGCTGGAAGGAGCAAAAGGAGTTGACACTCCGAGCTCAAAACTGACAGGTGCTGGCTGCAGAACCAGCGACAAGCCGCTAGACGCAGCGGAAGCCTCAAGATTCAGACATCTTGCAGGGACAGCTCTTTACTTGAGCTTGGATAGACCTTCTATCCAGTACGCGTTGTCAGAAATCACTGCCGGAATGGCAAAGCCGTGTGAAATCCACATGTTGCGACTCAAAAGACTTGGTCGCTACTTGTTGAAGTTTCCGACGGAGACTTGGCTTTTCGCCTTACAAGAAGAACCTGAAGAGTTCCAGGTTTACACAGATTCTGATTTTTGGCATCAGATGCAGTCACGCGCAGATCAATGTCCTGCCACATGGAGCGATTTGGTGAGCATCTGCTAGACGGTGGATGCGCCAAACAGTCAACAGTTGCACTTTCGTCGGGAGAAGCAGAGTACTACTCCTTGACAAGAGGAGCTGCAATCGGACTGCTGACCAAGCACATCTTACAATGTGTAGGGTTCAATCGAGTCAAACAGGTCATGCTGACCGACTCGACAGCAGCGAAAGGCATCGCCCAACGTTCGGGCACAGGAAAGGTCAAACACCTTAGCATCCGTGAGTTATGGTTGCAGGAGAAAGTCCGTGCAAGAGAACTAGCTGTGCGGAAAGAAAGCACAACAACGAACTGGGCTGATTTGGGCACGAAGTCTCTAACAGGCCCAAGAATCAGCGAACTGGTTCAAATTATGCCACTCTGCAGGAGAGGCATTGTTGTAGCATGCCTGCTGTGTATGATGAACTGCGCAGCAGCACAGCCAGAGGATGAAGAGAAGGACTCAAGCATCTTTAGCTTTGTGCTCTATATGTTTGTGGTCCACATCCTTGCACTATACGGGCTGTTTTCAGCCGTGAGAAGAAGGTTCATGAGAGAAGAAGCCTGCGAGAAGATGATTCAAACAGATGAGATCAGGGCAGACAACAGAACTACGCAGACATCCACTGCGCAGAACACCGCAAGTTCTTCAACATCCATGCCAGTATCAGGGCATGGAGGGGAACAAAGACAGAATCCAAAAGCAAAACCAAAGCCAAAAGCCGAAGCGAGAGAACCACAAGATGACCTAGTGGCTATACTTGGAGGCGGTGTACGGTATCATCGCATGAGCTGCGGAATGGTGAGAGCTTTCCGTGGTAATGTACAGAACTGCCGCAGGTCACTAGCTGTTGAACGTGGCTACACGCCATGTAAACAGTGTGGTGGTTGAAGTGTTTCACTGAAAGTCAGCCAAATCACTACGTGATTCAGCTGTGGAGGGGTGTCAGGAAACAGACCCTATTCCAGTCACCACCTGCCATGTATAGGCTAGCATGTTGTACATGAGAATTCATTTAAGACTTATGGCCATGACTTTGGCTCAAGCATCAGCGTGATAGGAAAACAAGCTGCTTGCTGCATCTTGGGGCTGTGCGCCCCGCTTTCAGGGTTGCTATAATTTTATATAATTTGACCTCACGATGTGCGAATTCTCCATCCCAAGGAAGCCTTCGTGGCGTGTTTAGCCCTCTGGGCCGTGGCTGCCGCCATCAAATCCCCGGCGCTGCAAGCCTTCGCCATCTCGGCGGCACCGGAGGATCGACGCGGGGCCGCGCTAAGTGTGCCGAAGACGGTGGGGGATTTGAGTTATTTGATCGCACCATTTCTGTTGGGTGCCTTGGATGATAACTTTGGGCCAGAGGCAGCTTTGACCTGCTGCGCCAGCACATTTCTGCTGGGGACTTTGGCCTTTGCCTTTCGCAGCGCTTGAAAAGTGTTGCCATCGGTTCGGTTCTCTGGTGTAATTTGCACTGGAGTCACTGGAGGAAACAGCCACCGAACAAGAAGATCAAGAAGGAAGGTGGAGAAAATGAGAGAAACCGATCATGCAATGGGTGAGGAATGTGGGAATACGTGGGAATAATTCAAATCATACCTACCCCATTAAAAAAAAAAAAACGGTACGCCCCAACGGGGCTCCTACATGTTGCTCTTGATCCCTAAGGCAAGGACGAGCTGGAAGCCGAGATGGAGGATCTTGAGACAGATCCGGAGGATCCGAACTCGGAAGATGAGACGAAACGACAGATGCTCACCTGGAAATACCGGGGATTCGGTTGGATTCGGTTGATGTGCGGGCTTTCGGCCTGGAGATCGCCTTGCGCATAGGGAAATGGTGTTGATGTTGTTTTTTTGTTTGTCTGGGGGTCACTGTGCACAAAAGCATTTTCACGGATCCGCCGTTGTCTTATGCTTTGGGAGATTCATGAAGGTCCACAGTCCATATGTATGTCCATAATATTCCATAATAGTGATAAGAGTCTATGGTATTCTATAATAATTGTTACGATATTCCATCATATTCCATATAAGAATCCTGATTTGATGATCCGTGGTTGTTGTTGGATTATGTCACATATTCTTGTCAGCAGCTGACAGGGGAGCCTCGGATAGCGAACCCTCACGGAGTGACATCCGTTGATCAGGATGATCTTGAGCACTCTTCAGCATTTTGTGCTCACAATCCTCAAAGCGAAGCTAAACTGTAAGGGTTTGTAGACAAATTCATTATATCCATTTGAAACGGTTGGTGTGGTTGGTATTTACGAGTGTCATCCAGTGTCTATAATATGGGACAAACATGGGAAAACAATATCCATCTCTTTCCCAATTTTCCATGTTTGGCCACCCCAGGATGGCAGTGAGGCGATGGAAACTCGGTGTCTTGGTCTTAGGCATTTGCCAGATTTTGAAATTTGGAAGAACTTACTGGTGCTAAACGTAGGGAATGGGATGATTATTACTAGTGATTATGGATCATTCCCAAAAATTCCCTACTAGGCACCAGTAAGATAAATGTGGATGATCTGACTATCACAATTTTCGCCTCAAACAATGGATGTTAAAGTGAGTGAAGTACAGGAAGGGAAGTAAATATGTAGGCTGGTTTCGAGATTCGTGAAACATGGTATAGTATCATATAGTATCCGTATTCTTGGATTGTCCTTGGATGTTTTCTCGGAGTTGAGGATGATTTGAAGGGATCGATTGGGATCAAGTTCCTAGAAATATTAGAAATGTGAGGCAGTGCCTTGCACACAGCGCTTATCGAAAATTGATGAAAATTGGTGTTTCTCAGTTTTCTCAAACTTGGGTAAATGAGGGATACCTCAATACATCCCATGTTTGTGTTTTCTCATCCCGAAACTACACCCCAATCCTTCAGGAACTCTCGGCATCCAAGCCGTTCTACGACTCCGCGACACCATTCGCAGCCCAGCTTCTCCTGCAGGGTCCAGGCGTAGCAGTTGCTTGGGCAGCCTGGGGCCTGGGAAGGCCTGGGAAGCCTGTGAATTCCAGAATGAAAGATTTTGAAACAGCAAGGATTGTGATCCAACCACCAAAAGTGATGATTTCAACAGGAAGAATATGGTTTTTAGATGTTTCTAGTTATAGTGATTTATCATGGTTTATCATGGTTTATTCAGAAATTGTGTAGTTGCCATGTTTGATTGTTTCTGTTGTTTATGGGTTCATGATAGAGGGTTTCACGCAAAACTTCTGCTTCGCCGTAACCAACAGTGTTGGGCGGATTGAACCAACCATTTTATGGGTATGACGGGCATAGAACCAGCAAACAATGAGACTGTATTTACCCAACCCTGCAAAAACTAGAATTGAACATGATTCACGCGACAAGAGTGGCGATTTAACCATAAGAAATGTGTTTATCCAGAAATGAGGATTTCTCCGAAATCGTGGATTGGAAATACAACCCATTTTGGACAAAGCCAAAGATTTCTGAGAGGGCACCCCAAAGAGAACCAAGTGTTTGGGGGCATTTAATGGGGAAGGGAGAGAATATTTGACCGGATTCATGGGTATGTTTTGATCCATGGAAGTGGCATGTCTGACGCACAAGCAGCGTCACAAAGTGGATCTTTTGGCAGAAAACTGGGAAATTGTAACCAGTAAACTAAGCCAGTACCGATTTGGTGGTGGTTTAAGAACCCTTCACAGGTTTATCAGTGACATAAGTAGGCAGGCACTTCCAGATGGCTCTTGGGCTTGCTTGTTCATCGTCAAGGTTTCACACAAATGACAGAGGGTGATACTTTCAGAATCTGCATCAATTGACCAACAAGTTGGACCTATTTCGGTTACCAGAAAAAAATGCTACTTCAATCATGGTTTCCATCGGTTCTATCCCCTTGATCACTGAGGTTTCGCCAAGACCAGGGTGGTCACAGCCGCACCTGACACCGATGGGTTGGCGCTGCCAGTGCTTCCAACGCTTCCAACGCTTCCAACAGCTGACGCCGGAGGTTCCAATGCGGAAAGTTTGAGGGTTGATACCGAGAAGCCGGTATGGATCTCAGGTACCTGTTGGGGGTACCTCAACTGGTTGGTGGTTTGGAACATTTTTAATTTTTCCATATATTGGGAATAATCATCCAACTGACTATATAATATTTTTCAGAGGGGTTGAAACCACCAACCAGTCAAAGAAAGATAGTGATTCTTATGATGATCAACATGTTTCGCATGTTTCTTTTGTGACAACTTTCAAATATCCCCTCGATTCCCTGGACGAACCTATGTAATTATATATATTAATATATTATATGTTATGTGTATATATGGCAAAAATTGGGATTCTACTATCATGGGATTCTACTATCATGAAATGGGCTTATGCTAAGGACAGAATCACTGAGGATTTGGTTGGTGGTTCTACATATTTTTTTCACGTCAGCAAATGGGATCATTCTTCAATGACGGGTCAGAGGGGGAATGAAAAACTTCGGAATGCATGGGTATGGAGCAAATGGGCAAGGTTGAAATAGCAACATGTCGGAATCATTGAAATTCTCAGAGTTTTAGGAATGCCCCCAACCTCCCACTGGTTGGCTGATTAATAGAGGGTTCCCCCCGTTCAACAACCAATAAATAGATGATAATAAATCATATACCAAACCGGCCCCTCCATTTTTGCAAGGAGATTGTCATTGGTTCTTCAGTAGTTGATTAAGTGGTGTGAAATATATTGAGCCAAGAATCATCTAACCTAGGGTGACTCCAATGTACCAAGCATCCTGACAGGATATGGTTTGCTGTTCAGCCACATAGCCCATATCTGAGGTGCAGGTCCATCGGCACTATTGGCTTCTCCCAAAGTCAAGGCAGAAGCAGCCCCCAAGAGACACTAAGCTGCAAGGTTGGTGTTTTGCTAGGACAGGCGTAGGAGGGAAATTGTCAGCACAAGAGTTGTACGGGATTTGACGATATTAGACGCATCCAGACAAGGCTTGTACTTTGGACATACCTCTAAACTTTGGAATACAGAACTCGAAATACTCGAATATGTTGGCCGTTTACTACGTGCTCGTGACTTGAATCAATTTGGCTACTGCTTTGTGCAATCAGAACAGGGTGGTAAGGTATCAAATTTCAAGTTTGACAATGTCAGAGAGTGCCATGGTTGTTTGACATTCCAATCACACAAATCAGTTTGCATATATAAATGTTTTCCACCCGCAGTTGTTTGCTCAAAATGATGGTTGAGGGTGTCCTCCCTTTGACTTACACTCACAGATGACAGGAGCTATCACACCTGAGGTGCAGGTACCTTAGCTTCTCCCAAAGGCAAGGCAGAAGCAGCCCCCAAGAGACACTAAGCTGCAAGGTTGGTGTTTGGCTGGGACAGGCGTAGGAGGGAAATTGTCAGCACAAGAGTTGTACGGGATTTGACGATATTAGACGTATCCAGACACGGCTTGTACTTTGGACATATCTCTAAACTTTGGAACTCGAAATACTCGAATATTTTGGCCGTTTACTACGTGTTCGTGACTCTTGAATCAATTTGGCTACTGCTTTGTGCAATCAGAGCAGGGTGGTAAGGTATCAAAATTGAAGTTTGACAATGTCAGAGAGTGCCATGTTTTTTTGACACTCCAATCACGCAGTTGGCGTATGATTTTGTCGCTTGAATGTGTTCTTGCAAGAATTGTTGATTCAATAGATAATTGTTCAGGGTGCATTGGTGTTCAACTAGAAGCCTTCCATTTCAACAACTAAAGATGTCATTCGAGCTTTCCTCAGGTGGATGCCGTAATCCTTTTTGCATGTGTTTGCACTTAAAAAGTCAATATTAGAGTTGATAACCAACGAGGTTTTTTTTTGTTTCCGATGAAAACATACATAAATCCGAGAAATTGGTATCCTCAAGGGTCTGGCCTGTGAAATCACCAGATCCATTTGATCTGGGTAAATTATAACGACCTCACTGCGACCGAGCCCTGGAATCATGGTTAGTAAGGGAAATCATCCCCAAATGGCCGCAAGATTCAGGTTAGTGAAATATTATAATTTACCCATATATATATATTCTATATATATATATCATCATGTGTTATTATATTATATTCTATACAATACCCATAATGAGACTTACAAAGCGGCTCTCAATGTCGCGCGGTTAGTTTGCAATTCACTAAGGAGGGCTATTTTTTCGGGATTTGTTTTTGCCGTTTTGGGCATGTTTTTGTTGATTTCTGGTTCCCTGCTTTTTTGCTTTCTGGTTCCCAGCTTTTTTGCTTTTATGTTTTTTGTTTTTCTGCTTTTCCCTGCTTTTTTGCTTTTATGGTTCTTTGCTTCTTTGCTTCTCCATTCTTCTGCTTCTTCGCTTCTTTGCTTCTCCACTCTGACTCTCTGCTTCTCTGCTCTGCTTTTCCAGCTTCTTTGCTTCTTTGCTTTCTGCTCTTACCTGCTTTTCTGCTTCTCTGCTTTTCCCTCTTTTTTCTCATACTGCAGATAATCCTTAAGGAACATCATTAAACCCTAAATCAGCCATAAATAACCTCAAACCAACCAAAGAAACACTAAAGCAACTCTAAGTAAACCTGAAACACTCCCTAAATAATTTTGAAACTAAGCCTAAATAAACCTTACAGCAGCCCTAAATAGATCTTAAACCAGACCTAAATAAATCTTAAACCAGCGCTAAACACACCTTAAACCAATCCTGAATAGGTCCTACACCAAAACTAGATAAATCCTAAACCAAGCCTGGATAAACACACACCCTAAGCCAGCCCCAAATCCTAAACCAACCCTCAACAAACCTTAAACCAACCACAAATAGACCTTAAAACAAGCCTAAATAAAACCTGCAACAAACCCTAAAAAAGGTCCTAAACTAACCCTTTAAAAGAACCTAAATAAACCCTAACTCTAAAACCAACCCTCAAACAACTTAAAACCAAACGAAACCCCTAAACTAAACCTAAAACCAACCCTAACTTAGCCCTAGTTGCAAACTACCATGTTACATTAACAGTTCAAACTCAAAAATGCTGCAAATACCGTTGAAACAGCAGCTTCCAGCTCCAAAATGTTACAAATTCCACCAAAATATTGCAAATTCTATGGAAAATGAGAGGTTCCAACTCCAAAATGTTGCAAAGACAGTTGAAATGGCAGCTTCCAGTTCAAAAATACTACAAATAGCAAGGAAAACGTGCAGAAAAAACGGATCCAAACAAAAATCCTAAAACGGTCAAAAAATAATTCCCAAAGCAATTCCGGACCCATTCACTAATAAGGAGTTTCAAAGGAACACCTATTTCTAAAGCACAGCTCAAACTTGTAGGATTTTGTGACTTGCAGCCACCGTTCTTTTCGAACGAGTGAGTTTCCCACACAGAGGGAGCGCAACATGAGATGCAATTACAATCTTCAATTTTAGAGTCATGGATGTATCAAAAAAAATCCATGCCATAATCACTTAGAGTATGCGATCAAAGAAAAATCTGATCACCATAAATTCACGGGAAAATAAGCATTCCAGGATGCAGGCTGCTCTTCCAAAAATGCCAACAGTTGGAGCAACCATCTCAGCCACATGGCCAACATCTAAGGTGCAGGTCCATTGGCAATACTGGCATCTCCCAAAGTCAAGGCAGAAGCAGCCCCCAAGAGACACTGAGCCGCAAGGTTGGTGTTTTTTTGACCCATCCAGGCACAAGTTGACGCTGGGATTTGATGAAAGCAGAATACTCTGGCCATTACGAGGTGCTAGTCACTCTTCAGTCAACTTGGCTGTTCTGTGCAATCAGAACAGGGTGGTAAGGTATCAAATTTCAAGTTTGACAATGTCAGAGGGTGCCATGTTTTTTTGACATTCCAATCACACAAATCAGGTTGCATAAATGTTTTCCACCCGCAGTTGTTTGCTCAAAATGATGGTTGAGGGTGTCCTCCCTTTGACCTACACTCACAGATGACAGGAGCCATCACACCTGAGGTGCAGGTACCTTAGCTTCTCCCAAAGTCAAGGCAGCAGCCCCCAAGAGACACCAAGCTGCAAGGTTGGTGTTTGGCTGGGACAGACGTGGGAATGGATTGAATGTCGTGCCCAATGGAATGAAAACGGGAAGCCAATAAGCCAGATCCTATTTTCATCCATCCAATGTTGAAGCTTCCCTTCGAGCTTTCCGGCAAGAGGTTGTTGTTTGGGTATGTCTGAAAATTGGGTATACCACCAATTATAGCATATTAATTATAGCGATTGAATGGGGGAAAACGATGATTAACCATTGGGTTTAGGGGTACTCTAATTATTTTCAGACATTTTTGAAATTCTAATTATTCACGTTTGATGTGTGAACGTTTTGGACAAAAATCGCCCTGAAATGTTCATCCTATCCAGCGCTCTCAGAATGGGTCACGCGTTCATTTCTCCAATCTACTGTAATTGGCATCTCTCCTGCAAGCGTCTCTGATTTGTTGGGACAGTGGCAACATGATCCAAGTTGCGATCCATCAAACCCGGCTCCAGAGTGAAAACCCAGGAGATGCGGCTCCTCCAAAGTTACCGCAAGTGCCCGCTGCGCCACAGGCCATGTTTCGGTGCACGGTCTTGACCACGTGGCAGCCGGTAGTTTGATAGGATCCTCCCAAGGTGGTCCAAGGTCATTTTCGGGGGGTTGCAATGGATGCTCACTTTGTGAATGTTTGCGTATGTCTTTGATTTCCAGTTGGCAGCATAGCTACATGCCACCCATTTTCCGCGTCCTGATCCAGAGAGGAGAGCTACTTGCCCGTTGCATTATAATTATACACCACGTGGGTCAGTACGTCGTGACGCATATTTTCATTGATGGGATGGTCAGACCATGCAAATCAAGTTCTTCATCAGCAACATCCAAGAAATGTTGTCATCTTACTGTCAACCCAGGCTCAGTGCATCTACCTCCGTAGGCCCCTTTTCTGCCATCTGCTCGGGCAATACTGAAGTCAATTATATAGGTGGTTTTGCACCTTCTGAGGACTCCTGATGCCAAATTTATCAGATGTTGATGTTACTCAGATTTTATATAACAGTATTACAACCAATATTCAACATGTATTAACATGTATTAACCAAGTACCCAATGGCTTAACCATGCTTAACCTATCCCCAACTTCTCCCAGCGCCAGGCAGTCGTGGAGGACGTGCCGGGTCTTGTACGACGGACCTCCATCACTCCACGGAGCAAGCCGGCGGCTGTGCGGCAACTGCAGGTGGCCACCATCCCGGGGTGGGTTGGTCATGTTGCTCCATTTTTTCACAAGTCATCCAATGTTTTATGGATTCAAAATGGTTCAATTTCTTGGATCCAATTTTCCTTTTTTTGGGGGAGGATCTACTATTGAGATGATCAAGTGCTGGAGGTTATGTCAATCGGCAGTTGGGGAGCCCGAAAATCCTCCAAAGTTGTTTGGACGGCACATCCCCCATTTAAGGACACCCCCATGCAAGTTTCTACATGACTGCTTACTGTCCTCCGCACTCAACTGATAAGGTGTGTGATACTAGGAAACTGGCAACCCATGAACCCCAACAATCCTGAGCCCCTTCTCCTTGTTGATGGGATAATGAGTTTGTAGATGTTTGTAGCATTTTGTAGCTATAAAGCCAATGAACTGCTGGTTGCCTCTAGTGATAGGATGCTATAAATAGTTTTAGGATGTTTTAGGATAGTGATTGTAGCAACACCCACAGGGGTTTGTCTTGGATACCCCATAAGATGAACCGGCTCACTGGGATGCAGATTCAAGTATGTCCTGCTCAAGATAACCACTTAATCTGGGAAATGATGATGATCATGATAATGATCATGATTATTATTATTGATGATGAACCATTCCCAGGATTGGTTTCAGGATGCTGTTTACTTGAAACTCTGTATTCTTGGGCGTTCAACAAAAGTGTTCCATAGGTTTACATAGGCTTCCCTTAAGCCAACTATTTGACTGAAAAATATTCTCACTATATTCCGGTATATTCCCATTATACTGGTATTATTCCCAGTATTTCTAGGTATCTTCCCACTACATCCCACTAAAACCAGGCGCCAGACGCTGCCAACGTCGTGGCCTTCAGCCCGGCCGCCACGGCCGCGGCGAAGCGGCTGCCGCCGGCGCCGCCGCCGCCCAAGACGGCTGTGCGGCAGAATGGGCCGGGAGAAACTTGGACGGCGCTCCCGGAGATCCCGGAGATCCTGGAGATGGAGGTTTCCATAAATACAGCATCCCCAATAGCTGGAAGGTTTACCATGGAAAATCCCCAATCGAAATATGGATGATTTATGATGATGAAAATGGGGTACCCCCATTTTAGGACACCTCCATTTTTGGGGGGGAAGTAAACAGCGGAATATGATGCTGATGGAAAAAAAACGATCATTGCACAGGCATTTGACTGGGATCAAGTGTGACAAGTATTGTGAGGGTCCACTGATGGAATATATATATATACATTGATCTTGTTGTCTGTGTGTGTGTGTAATATAAATGTGTATATATGCACCAGGCCCTGCCACCCCCCCCCTCCCCCCCCCCGCATGGGATGGGTCCCATATTGAGATCTTCCCCCTCCCCCCCTGTGGTGTGGTGGGGGTGTGGTACTGTCCCCCTCCCCCCCTGTGGTGTGGTGGGGGTGTGGTATGGTATGTTGGGTATGTATGGTGTGTATGGTCGGTCTGGTATGGCATGTTTGGAAAGTATGGATGTATGGTAGGTATGGTATGTATGGCATGTATGTTTGCTATTGTATGTATGGTAGGTGTGGCAATTATGTTGCATATGTATGGTATATGTGGTATGTATGATAGGTATGATAGGTATGGTATGCATGGCATCATTGGAATGTATGGTAGGTACGGTATATGTTAAACACATGTAATGTTGTCAGAGTACACAGGTAGTAAATAGGAAGTAGATACATAGCACATGTATATATATATATCACTATAGGTAGTACGTAGGTGTCACGTAGGTACTTTGAGGGAGTATATGTGCTACGTAGGTCACCTAAAAGGTAGCATGTACCTAGTAAATGCGAGGCTGGTAGTCAGAAATGCTGCAAAGACCTAGCAAATACGAAGCTGGACCTCAGAAATGCTGCCAATAGCTTGCAAATAGAATAGAAGGGGGGGTGGTACCTGGGGACCCAACCCATGGGGGGGGGGGGGGGGGGGGGGGGGGGGGTGGAGAGACGGAGGACGGGACCATATATATATATATATACACACACTATATGAAATGTAAATCTGAAGCTAAATGTAAATGTAATGCAAGGTATGATATGATATGCATGTAACATCTGCACGGCTGCCCGTACTTGGCTGGGAAAGCCAGGGGCTGATCTATAATGATTCAAATTTGAGCCCACTGAAATGCGAAAATTGATATTTCGGCGACCCCCCTTACAGCAACTTGGGCATGGGTTCAAATCTTTGACTAGGAAAAAAAGGATAGGTTGAGACTGAAAATGACATTTTGTTTGTGAGTCCATGGGTAGCTTGTACAACATGGATCGCAATGCTTCAGAGGACAACACCCACCAAGAAACTCATCATATCTATAGAAGTTTGAACAAGACTCCCGTAGTGGGACTATAGTTTGATCCCCACTACAGCAGATGTTGGAGATAATATATTGCTGGACCATGCTAGTTGGGGGGTCAGTTGACCCACCGTCCATGTCATTCGGATGATCATCCATTTTCATCAGCCAGTCTTAACGACCCACAACCGTTGTTTATTTTTGTTAGCTAGCCATCCTATTTGTTGTGGGTACTCGAATGGGTAATGTGGTAAACCCGATAAGAAACTATTCATCCCGGCAACCAACCATTTGGGGACCGTTTAAGATCATCCCAGTCATGGGTAACCCCGGGGAATGTTTTTGGCACTGGCTTTGCCTCTCAGGATGTCACTGCCAAAAACTCCTTGGATCGTGGTGACAACTTGACTCTCACGGCGGCCACCATACAGGTGCCAATGGCATGGGGTTGATGAGGATCCCCAAGAGTCATGGCCCGGGATTTCCGACCTGGGCTTAGTCCCAGAATCTGAAATCCGTCCCATGGAGCCATGGTTTCTCAGAATTGATCCATCTTTTCACAATGAAAAGGACGAGGAATTGGCTGAATTGGGGTAAATCGGAATCCCCCATGTTGAGAGAAGCCCACATCTTGCAGTTTTTCTATGTTTTTCTGGAGGTGGTCCTGTTCTGTCTTTAGGGACATATGGATGAAATCGTCAGAAAATTTGGGGAGCACTTGGAGTGGCCCAAGGCGGTTCATTCCCTGGACAAGCCATACCTGGGCACTTTTGGCGCCGCGGACTGAAAGAGTGAGCTAAGTCATGTGGGGGTGGGGGAATATACTTGCATTATCTTGCATTTACTGCAGCTTTATGATGATATTATATATAACTATATAATTATGTATATATATATGTGATTATATAGAGTTTATTATATATATAGATAGATACATACATTATAAATATATATATATATATTAGTTGTTCAATAGTTCTACCTCCCGCAACATGGGTGAAATTGATGCTTACTTAGTAGGATGGCCAGCTCGTTTGGGATCCAAGAATCATTGGCTTTTGAAAAGAGATGCTGCCAAAAACAAAGTACAGAAGCTGGCTCAAGACGCTCCACTTCCATGCTCAGAAGATTTTAGTCGACACTTGACAAATGAACTTCCTTTGAAGAGTCCTGCAGAAGACCTGGGCGTGTTTGAAAATAGGGTATATCCGCAACAATTGCCATTCAATGGGGAAAATCACTGTGGTAGCCCATGTTCAGACAAACTCTCCCGCCTTCTGCTTTGACTGTGCAAGTGACGCGTTCGAGGTAAATCCGAGCAGCGGCTCCTTTCTGCACATACCCAGAGCACCCACCTTTCACATGATGACTCGCACCTGACTCTGTCCAAAGATTCCGCCTATTCCAGCGTTTCTTCGACAGCACTGATGTCAGCCGGGAGCTAACCCTTAATAGATGTGTGTCGAAGCGAAAAAAGTGTGAGTCCTTGTTGATCTTGTGAGCTACACCTGTTGAGATGACCGCCTTGCGCGGCAAGGCTGGATTTTCGCCCTACGCTTCGCAGACAGAGCTGCATAAGATGTCCACCACAAATTTGTATCTCGGACGGTCTCGGTTTCGGCCTGGCTGTTGCTACCAAGATTGATACTGGATCATCCCAAGCAAAAACGGAGAACCATGACCAGAATGAGTAGGCACTCATTAGAGGACCCTACCAGGATTGATTCGTGTGCTGGATCCACTCTAAATATGTTGTTTCTGCAATGTGTTGAAGTCAAAGGTGCCGTGTACTTCAGAATCTCGCATCCAGGGCTGCCCTTAATATTAGCACCTTCCTAGTCTATCCCAGTTGAAATTATTCTTTTCAATTATTCTACATATCCTATCGCAAGAATACAGAGATGGGATTACCAACATTGACCAAACAAGATGTTCCGATATTCTCCTTTTATCTCTTTTTCATACCGAATCATTATCTATCATGCATTCTTCATTTCCTCAGGTGGAGAAAAACTGCAGGTCAGTAGCCAGCTCCCCTTTGCGGCAGGTCCTACCAAAGCTCCGTGGCAAAATTTTCGGTCGATTCCAGGGATCGAGAGGAGCTGAAGGAAGAGAATGTGGAAGTTCTGGAGGCCTGCTCCGTGTGCAAAAACCAGCCAACTCCATCCTCCTATAGGGGACTCAACATGATTTGAAGTGGTTTATGGGAATTTCATGGGAGATGGCATTCAAAATCTGGTAATTTACTGGCCAAAACAAATCCCTTTGAAATGTGGTTGTTTTTTCAATGGCTATTCAAAACATTCAAAATTGATGTTATGTGATGTGTAATGTGGGATTCACCCAATGCCATAAACCATCCCCCAAAAGCCTAGCATCTGAGAATTGAGGTGCTATTCATCCTCCAAAATTGGAGGTTTATGGCAGGTGAATCCCACATTCTGTCAGATTCTGTCAGATTGTGCCTTCTGATTCTGTCAGGTGGAGCCCGACGAAGTCAATCTGTTGGGCTATGCCCTGCCTTTGCTAGACCGAAAATCTTTCGGTGTGGAGACGGCTTTGATGACTCCCACAGGCCATGGGTTATCTTTGGATGGCTAGTTTACTGAAATCCCTTCCTCCTAACATGCCCAATATTTGACAACTACTATTGTTATGTATGATTATGACTACTCTTTATGTATATATGTATATGTGTATATATACACATACATATACATGCATAGTAATGTATAGTAATATATATATATATACTATCCAAATATGTTTGCTCAAGGATGTCGAATAGATTGGCCATGTAAAGGGTCACAGGTGCCCCAGCCAAGTCAGTACTTGAAACGAGGTCACAGTTTATGCCTCGATTGATCATCCAGAGATAGAAATTACGTTTGTTAGACACCTGAATTTGTGTACTTGACTCGGCCCTTCGAAATTGCATTACTTTTCTATACAAAGATGTCATCGTTTTTGTGTTAGCTGGAATGTGACCATCAGGTTTCAGAGTGAAATTACCCATGCCGACTTGAGTGGTTCCAAAATGTGTGATCCCAAATCACACCCAAATTTATCCATAAATCCACCATTTCCATCCATTTCCTAGTGTATCATTCCATGGCCCTTTTTTTCAGCCGGGGCAAGGCAAACTCCTCGGAAGCCCTGGATGTTGGAATCCAGGCCTCAGCAAAGAGGCCCCAGGGGGTCAGCCAAACTGGAGTATACAACCAGCTGAAGATAGGGATGCATTGATTGGATATGATATTATAACATATTATAATACATGATCATATATTATAATTTGGAGACATAAATATATAATGATATTCATATGTGTATGTATATATATAATGATATTCATATGTGTAATATGTATATATATATAGTCAGTTAGTTAATTATTTATTCAACCAACTATTTGGTATACGGTATATGTATGTGTGTCTGAAAATTGGGTATGCCCAAAAAATGTTCAGTTTTGAAAGGGAAGAAAATGAACCGTTGGATTTTGGGGGTACCCCATTTTCAGACAAACCCATATGTTGGGATTGTGTAGCGGGTGCACACTGGTAGCAGATTGAGCTCTCAACCAAATGGGGTTTCCACAGCCCCACCAATCAAACAGCACAGCAAATGAAGCGAGCGCAAGGCTCAGCAAATGTTTTCCATGCACAGCGGGTGTGCGTACAATCGCACCATCAAGTGCTCAAAGGGGCCCCTACAGACCCGTATGGTCATATGAGCCAAGCATCACGGAGTCATCCAAGTTTCAGATTGGCAATGCTGATTGGCAAAGGAAGGTACCTGGCAGGTCAGGAGCTGGACATGTTGCACCAGCACAAAAGAAGGTTGAGCAATACTTCGATTGCTCATAGATCACATCCTGCCAGGTTTCAAAACTATCACTCTCACTGGCGCTCTCAGTTGAAATCAGCAGCTGCTCAATCAAAGCGGCATTGACTGTGTCATTATTCTGCAAGGCTCGCGCAAAGAGACCATGCAAAGCGTCATCAACTTTCTTTACAGCAGTCAGTCCGGCACGCTTGTTCTTTTTGGCAGCAGTGAAAGAAGGATCAAAAGCAATACTCCAATGCCAATGACGCAAAAACTTCATCAAGCCATCTCGGCTGTCGTTGCGCTTCTTGGTCATTGAGTCTGCTAAATCATAGTCAGATGCCAGCCAGCGAAGTTCACTTCCAACTCGCTGCAAGTTGTCTCGAAGCTGAAATGCTTGAAGGGCAGCTCGGAGATTTGAAAGACCAAGGAGAGGGGATTCGTTCACCTCCACCGCATCATGTCCACCACGGCTATCCGTGCAAATGATGCCCTTGATACATCTCACCTGGTTTTCGGTGGCTTCAACCAAGTCATCACGCTGTCCATGACGTCCAAAACAAGCGCCATGCATTTCAGTCCACAGAAGTCGGACCCGGTAATTCTGGTCCTCACCTTCCAAAACAGCTTGCACCTCTGCGTCGTTGGAGGCAATGGCCTTTCGCTTCAGTTTCCAGCTTCGCCAGGTCAGGGGCATCATGGGACACACACACACCCTGAGACAGCTTCAGGTCCAGCAGCAAGTGTAACAAGTCCACCAGTGCTATCGCCTTTTGGGCGATTGTTGTGGGCTTGATCTCCCATAGTGATGAAAACCATTTGATTCCATCGCTCCACAGTTGGCAGCTTGAAAAACTCAAGGTGTTGAGGTTCACGGCGCACTTCGCCAATCATTTGTTGGATCTCCCTCGCATGTTCCAGTGTGCCTGCTGTTACAATCTCAGTCAAAAGAATGTTGCACCTGGAGCAGAGTTGAGGTTGAGATTGGATGGCTAGCCATTGAAGTCCACCAAGAGAGGTACGACAGGCAGCCACCTCAGAAGGAGTCAAAGGACCATTGCTGCGAAGACGAACTGGATCAATGTTGACATCCGGCAGTGATTCAACATAGGCATCTTGATCGATGCGCAGCTTGAAGCCATTCTTGGTCTCAATGGTGTTGATGTCACTTCCAGCATGACGATAGCTGTCGCGTTTCATAGTTCCCCACTTGTAGGAGGCATCTATCTTCTGGCAAATCTGTTGCCACTCCAAGGATGTGTCATCACCGATCCTGTGGAAGTCGTCCACATGACCACCCATGGCTCCTATGAGCCGAGGAAACTTGCCCGTGATGTCTTTCTCGTGCTTGCTGAACCAAAGCCATAGGCAACGTTCGCCAAGTGCAGCACGGCCATCCAAGGAGGTTAAGGTACGATGCAGATCAAGCCAGAGACCCCTTGGGGCCGTTGTTGACCCGTAGATGTTGCGAAGAATACGCAAGACAGAGTCTCGTGGGATCTGGAGTGCATCGTGAAGTTCCTGGACACCTGTTGTCCATATCTTGCTGTCGGCCTCAGTAGGCATTGTCTGCAAGAATGCCGTCGCTAAGTCCAGGCCATGTAGTCGCCACTGGTGCGTCGCGGCGAGTAGATAGAGCATATTTCTGCCCAAGGAACTCTGCACCGGAGCTGATGTTTTGAACCCCTTGTCAAGAAGAGAGGGGTGCTGGTAGCCCAGGAGGACAATGCGCGCCTTCGCCTTCTTTGTGGCTGTGGCGTTGACGACGCTGTCAGGATTCTTGTCCCTGTCTTCCTCAGCGGCGGTCTTTTCATCTGGAGCAACAGCCTTCCAGGTCAGTACCCATCGGGCTTTCAATATTCTGCCCGTGGAGTAGGCCTCCTTCACCTCGCTGCTGTTGAGGCAGCGACGTACTGCTTGGTTCTGTATAAAACTGTGAACTTCTTTCTGCTTTGCCCTTCTGAAGAGTTCAAGGTCTGCAGGGCCCAGACGTTGAAGATTGACTTCTGAGCTGTTGAGTTTGCGAACCAGATACGCCACTGGATTCCTTTCAAAAACTTTCTGTTGCCTATGCGACTGAAAGTCCAAGTCGATGTTGAAGACCAGGCATTCATCATTCTGCTGAGCGCGGCCATAAAGTCCAAGGCCTTGGATTCCATGTCAGCTTCAGCAGCAAGTTGTTCCACCCATTTGAGGTCGTAGGAGCCTCGTGATTTCTTGGAGTCAGGTGGATCTGAAGGCCCATCATCCAACATAGGACCATAGTCATTCACTGCCTCATCATCAGTGTTGGCCGTGGCACCAATCGGTGTGCCAGGGTCATAGCCAGGTGATGCTGGGGCTGATTGCTCAGCATCTGCAGGTGGAAGAACAGGAGAAGAGGCAGCAGCTTTTGATTGTTGCGGAGCAGGCACATAAGAGAAAGCTCTGGTGTCTCGAAGTCCATCGCCGACACCCAGTGGAGAGCTTCGTGGAATTCGGCGCCAATCCATTGGTCCGTAAGTTGATTTCCGCCATGCTCGCGTCACAGGAACCAGTGTGGTTTGATCTGGCCGTAGAGGAAGATCTGGACATTCAACTTCATCAGGACCTGGTTCATCATCAGCCAAATCCTCAAACTCACGCTTGGGGATGATGTCGGCCAATGTCTTCCATTTCGATGGATCTTCTCCGCTGGTCAGGTCATACTCCATACGCTCAGTTGGTGTGCAAGGTCGGATGGAATGGACCGAACACCGCATGACCCGCTTGCCAATGAGCACCCAGCAGATATGGCGTCGAGCATCATCAGGAGATTGATGGGGCAGGACCTCTTGGAAAATGATACGGCCTGGCCCAATCCAGTGTGGTCGCCCAGACTTTTTCAAACCTCCACGCTTGCCAAGATGTTGATCAGCTGGTTGGTATCGTCGCCAAACCTTGACCAAGTCCATAGGTTCAAAGGTTCTAAGAGGCTGGCGCACTGTAGTGTTGCTGAGCTTGGAGAGGACTCTTCGAACTCGAGTGCGGACTGCTACTTCTTCAGCTTTTTGTCGAGCTTGAACCAACCGTTGAAAGTCCATGGTGGCATCAAGCTGGCTGAAAGTCCGATAGTCCTCATCAGCAAGAGAATATTGACTGCCAAATGCCCATTGAAAAGAGCTAAACCCAGCAGTAAATTCCGTGGCATTGAGAGAGGAAGCAGTCAAAGCCAGCGTCACCTTTGGGTCTTGACCCGTGTCTTCGAGGTGGATTGCCGTAGCTGTTGTTTTCACATCTTGGATTGCAGCTTCAACAGCACCGTTCGCCCAGGGTTCCTTCTCAGGGATGAAGTGCTGTTGGATGTTCAGCTCAGAAAGAAACTGGGAGAACTCAGGCGTGGAAAAGGTGTTGGCGCTGTCCATCACCACCAAGTTCGGTTTGGGGTAGTGACCTAGCCATCCTTCAGAGAAACATCTGATAATGTCTTGATGAGTTTCACCTTCTTGCTTGAAGTTCTCATAGGTCTTGATATGGCAAAGGACACGCAGCTTCGTAGCCAAGTCCATGATCAGAAGGAACTTGAGCTTCAGCCTTGATCCAGGAATCTTCCATTCCGAGGTGTCCATTCCAACAGCTTGCCATGCCTTGAACATGGGAGCTGTAGAGGCAGGTGGAATGGAGCCAGAGCTCGTACCACCAGGCTTGATGGATTCACAGGCAGGACACTTGTAGTTCATCACCTCATCAATTTTCCACTGAGGTTGGCCAGCATTCTTGACCAAGCGGGCCAAGTTGCGATTGGTCGGATGGCCAGCAGCTTTGTGGTAGGCCGCGATCTTGGCCTGCCACTTCTTGAGCTCGTCAGAGCTTGGTTCATCAGAAGCAGGATCTGCAGGTGGCTGGGCAGACCTCTCATGTGGAAGACCTTCTGGTGATTCATCATCTGGTAGATCTTCTTGTTGTGCTGGGAGAGCAGCCAAAACTGGTAGTAAAACTTGTTCAGGATCTTCAACGTCCAAGGACTGACACAGAGGATCCGCGTAGTCTTCCTTGGCGTACAAAAGTTTCAAATGCTTGTTTCCAAAAACGAGCCACTGACTGGCAAAAACGCCAAGGATAATATGCCGATCGAGCCGTTTCAGGCCCTTGGATCCAAACATGGTTGTGAGACCCCAAACAGGTCTTGGTCTTGTAGTTGAGGTGGAACTGCTCATCGGTGGTTTTGATAAGCCACCGTTTTCGAATGAAGCCTTCATTCTTGCTGTCCATGAGGCCGTAACGACACCCATCAACTCGGCAGTCAAGCCATGGAAGTCCAATAGAGTTGATGTACTTCTCCAAGTCCAACATGGGAGCTTCTTGCCAGCCTCGACAAGGAAACACCCATTCATAGTAGATTTGACAATCTGGGTCTTGAAGAAGAGCATCACGGACAAAGGAGTTCATGCACCACAACATCTTGCGTTCTCTCCGTTGATATTGTTTCAAGAGTTCCTGACGTTCAGGAGAGGCATAGTTGATGTAAGTCCACTGGCAAAACTTGGTGCACGGCAAGCTGAGCCAGATCTTTTTGGGTTTTCGTTGAGCACGGAGCTGCTTCAAACGCTCCCAAGTAGCTGGCTGGTACAAATCAAAGCCAGAGTGGAGATTGATTCTCCTCGACTGAAGACCTTGGGAGTTGCAAGCTTCGGAGAGCCAGCTGTGTGGCGAGCATGCCACTTCCCAGACACCATCACGTCCATCAAGACAAAGTTGAATGGTGCTGGCAGCCATCACCATTAGCATAGAAGCAGCCATGTTCATCAACTTGGATGCCACCCTTGAAGTCAAAGGTCTCGTGCTCGGCAATCTCAGTTCATCTCGCTCTCCTCGTTGTTGGCGTTTTGACATGGAGCAGCCATCGATGACTGAGCTTGGCCCTTGCGCTCTTGAATCACCTGCTTCAGCTTGCTCTTCTCCTCTTCGGACAGAAGAGCTTCCATTTCGGCAGGAGTCGGCGCTTCGCTGATTGCCTCCCAGGATGGAGTTTGGCTCCCAGGAGGTGTCTTCGGCTTCGTCTTGTAGCCGTCGTGGAACAGCACGTTGGAAGGCTTTGGAGCTTCGTTGATCTTTATGACCAGGGCATTCACAACCTCGTCCGCATCGATCTTGGCCTGCATGGCACGGCATAGCTCCAAGGTTGGGCGTCGACCCTCGGTCATCACAAAGGTCTCTCGAAGCATCCTTTCTACCATCCCCGGATTCTCGCACTTGGTCGTCTGACCGGCTGCACCCACTCTCGGCACATAGGACAGACGTAGGCCGCACACTGCACATTCGATCCATCGACCGTGCTGGTTGGATCGCGCTCCCGTCGGTGTGTGCGCCGCATAGCACGGCCATTGATTGGCCTTGGCCCTTGGATCCCTCAGGTCCATACTGACCTCTCTGGAAGGATCGAAAGGCTGAGCTGGTGCCTTCTTCGGTGTGCTTTGCTTCGCCATGCTGGTCAACTGCTTGGACTGCTCCGCAGTGATCATCTCCTTGGAGGTCGACATGGCGAGCACACTTGGAAGAACTCGAATTTGCGCTGTTGCTCTTGGAGATCATGAGAGCTGAGCCAGATGCTGAAGCATTCGAAGGCTGAGCAAGTGATCTCAAAGTTCTCAGTCTTTGCACTGCCTCAATTTTCACCTTCTCATCAAGCATGCGTTCAGAGACCGTGAGATCATAGTATTCAACTGGATGAAATTCTAGAGATTGAAGTGAATGCACAGCTTCGGCACCCTTGACCCGGATGGTGGCATGACCCTCATGACATTCATGTCCTTCAGTTAGAAGCTGAACAACATCCAAAACATAGTGCCCTTTTTGGTTAACTGGAAGTTGAAAAGCTTCACCATCGTTGGTTTGAATAGCCATGCCCGTGGGAAAGTCAATGCAAAGTCCAAAATGTGCATCCCCCAAATAATCCATAGCAACCAAAATAGGAACCATGCTTGAACGATCAAAGTTGGGATCATGTAGTTGAGGAGGATTGGGCAACGCAAACAGCTTGAAGGTCTTTGGGGAACCACTAGCATGTGATGTGATAGATGCTCGAAACAAAGCCCTGCCCCACTGCCCATTGCCAAAGCGAAAATACGGTCGCTCGGACTTCTGAATGTCAATCACCGCTTGGTGGTCACGTTCCAAGACACTAGAAATCAGCGACTGAACTGCCAAGAGAGGACCGGCTGATGCAGTCGCTCCGCAGTCAATCAAACCTTGGCTGGGAGACAAAGAAGTGGAGCTAGCAGCCGTGTTCATCTCCTTCACATCCATGAGCTCTAGCCCATACATGCCAGCACTGTATGCGTTCACCGCGGGTCGAGACTGACCCTTGCCCTTGCCTTTCTTGCCCTTGACCCACGCTTGAGCCTCGAGCCATTTGAGACCTTTCGATCCCTTCTTGCCCTTGCCCTTGCCAGTGAAATAGTTGTCAACCTCTTCGTATTCAGTCATGTAGTGAGGCTTGAACTTGCCCTTGTTGAAACCCTTACTGTAGTAGGGGTGTCGCCGATCAGGACATTCACTGGAAAGGTGTGGGCCATGACAAATAAAGCAAGGTCCTCGGCCAGCAGGTTTGCCTTGAACAGGAATCTGACCAAAGCCCCTATCCTTCCTCAAGGCTTGTGTTGCCCTTTGAGCTTCACTCCACGTTCTCTGAGCTTCGGCTGCTAAGGACTCAGCCACGCGCTCAGCTTGCTGAGCTTCTTTGAGAGCAGCTTCATCCTCAGGAGACGGTGAAGTCTCTTCTTCTGCGGCAGCTTCTTCAGGAAGACTGGCATAGTAACCATCGTAGTCCCACCAGTCCCAGTCGTCACCATTCCATTCCCAGTCATCACCATAAGCAGCCATTCCATCTAGCCACCACTCATCATAGTGTTCAGCTTGATAGTTGTCATGTTGTTGGCCACGTCCATGCTGACGACCAAGAAATTGCTCATCCCACAGGGTTTGAAGAGCATGGGTGACAACTTCAAACTCTAAACTGCCACGGGTCGTGCCCAGAATGTCACGCTTATCTTCAGGTGAAAGCCCAGCAGCTTGAAGAACTCGAAAACCACGCAGGACGCCGAGCACAAAGCTATCGGCCAGCGTCAGTTCATTCACAACGTCAGGAGAAGTTGATGGAATTCCGACAGATCGTTTCTCAGGAACCAGTGGAGGCACTCTTCCAGACTGGCGCGAAGGTGTTCGGCCAGTAGGAGAGCCCATGTCACCAGGAGGTGTAGCCGGCTCTGCAGCAGCAACTTGAGGCGCAGCAGTGGCTGCCGCAGGTGGAGCTTGTGGTGGATCTTCAGCAGGAACTTCGGGAACTTCTGATGGAGGGGAAGAAGACGTTCGCCACCAGTCATCCCACTCACCTTGAGTCCATTCGTCCTCCAGTTCATCAGAAGGCAGACCAAAATCTTTGTCATCCTGTTTGATCCCATGCTTGTCTTCGTAAAGACGTATGATGGCTTCCACAAACTCGCTATAGCCCAAAGCTTCTCGAACCAAAAAGGCATGAATTGGTTCTCCTGGAGCTCGCTTGAAGGAAAAATACTGCTGACAAATAGCAGCAGCATTTGGAAGCGATTGCCTCACCAAAGGAGAAACTGCAAGTCGACGCAGATACTCCTTGGTGCCACCAACCTTGTCGAAGTCCACATCTGGCCAAGACATCGCCAGAAGCCTAGCAGGCCCAGTCAGCCTACTCATCAGCTTTGAAGCGCAATGTCGCCTCTTGTTCTGAGGCGTGGCGCGGACATACCAACACACTTCTCGGGTGTATCGGCGCCAGCCCTTGGCTTGACCATCCCAACCAGGCACATGGTGCTCCTTCTCCATCTTGCCAAAGGAGACTGCAAGGAAAAAGCAAAGGCCCAGGTCGCGTCACCTGGAAGTACAAAAAAGTCAGCTGCAGCCAAAAATGCAAAAGCCCGACTGTCGCCGCAACGTCAATGCCTCAAGCAATGATTGCAGCAGCAGCAAGAGATTCAAAGGCCCTGGCACAGCCGCAAGTCCAGCGCAAGCCAATCCCTTGAGGATGTAGTAGCGCAGCAGCTGGAGCAACACTTGCTCCGCTACCAGTGTAGCGGGTGCACACTGGTAGCAGATTGAGCTCTCAACCAAATGGGGTTTCCACAGCCCCACCAATCAAACAGCACAGCAAATGAAGCGAGCGCAAGGCTCAGCAAATGTTTTCCATGCACAGCGGGTGTGCGTACAATCGCACCATCAAGTGCTCAAAGGGGCCCCTACAGACCCGTATGGTCATATGAGCCAAGCATCACGGAGTCATCCAAGTTTCAGATTGGCAATGCTGATTGGCAAAGGAAGGTACCTGGCAGGTCAGGAGCTGGACATGTTGCAGATTGTCACCCATCAAAAATGAGTTTCAGTCACTTAGTTCTGTAATTCTTTATAATTATACATGGAACCCAAGTGTATGACTGGCCAGGTTGGAGGTTTGATTGCTTGAGACGATCTTGGTGCCTGTTTTGGATGGTTGACCCTCCATTTTCTGGGTCTGAACCTCTAAAAATAGGCTTCGCTTGTCCGAGATAGTCAGTCAATTCTGTTCCCAAGGCGGTACGATCATATTGTATGGTATCGCTAAAGCGAGCTGCTGGATTCAAAGATGTTTGATGTGCAACCTTCCCTTGGGGAGGATGGACGCGACCTTCAGCTGCAGCGACACAGTCCATCATAGCCCTTTGTTTTTGTTGCGGAGACGTAAAATGTAGAGTTCTACCCAAGGTCCCAAAATCAAGTGAGCAGTCTTCAAGACACCTGTTGGTTGGTTATTCTATGGGATTATACTAACCAATATATCGAGGATTCGGGGAATCCCGTTCCCAAACCGTTGCTGCAAGGTGGGTGAAATCCACGTGGCCCATGCTGGTCATGTCTTGGAGTTGCGTTCCCTACCAGTGCTGCCTGGCAAGAAGGGAGCCACGGCCAAAGCGAAGCCAAAGGCCGTGACGGGTTGGAAAGGTGGATGGCTTGGCCCTGGCTTGGCCCTCCAGGAAGCAACCAACTTGAGGGTGCCCAATCTTGAACCCTGCCCAGCCTGCCCATCAATCCATCTGTGTTTTCATCTTTGCCTACTGATCAAGATTGCTATCCCCACAGGAATCCACATGGATTTTTAGATCCCAGTGTCACGAAAGGCAGAAACAGTGAGCGGTCATTGTTGCACACCGAAGTGCCCGCGCCAGGGTCCAAAGCTGGTCTTAACCAATCTGGCGAAGCCCAAAAAGAAGCGCCAGCTCATTCAGGCGCTGAAAAGATCAAAAAAGACCAAGAAGTTGTGAAGGGTGGACTTGCAGGATTGGTTTCATCAGGGACGGACGAGTTTTCATATGTTCTCGTGCAGCATACAGGAACCTGATTTGCTAGCTTCCCAAGCATCATGATTTGCCACTACGCTCTGGAGTGTGGTGATCCGCACAAAGCTCAACGCTTGTGGAGCTTTCCTGAAAACCATGGGGGTCATCTATGCCACATATTGGAGGATGAACATCCACAACCGAAAATTCGGGTACCAGCGCCAGGCAATCCCTGCTGAAGGCGAGCCTTGCAAAGGTTAGTTGTGATGCTGCGGGTGCCTCCAGTGGTCAAACTGCCGAAGATTTGGTCCATTGAAACACCATTGGCGCCACTGGGCCTCCTTGAGAGGTCGCAGCGAACCGCGGCGGCAACCTCTCTACACCAGAGGTGCGGACTGTGATACAGTTTGCGCCAAAGTCCACTTGGTTCAACCACAAGGAACCGCCACTGCATGTGTTAGTGCAGCCAGGTCTGCGCTTGTGAGTATCATGGCAATGTGTGGTTTGGGTTTGAAGAGGCTCGGGGCAAGAATCGGATGGGGAGTGAAACTATTATACTAAGTCACCAGCAGATAGAATATTCAAAAAACACTGGACAACAGATAGAATAGTCCAAAACGCTATCAGCAAATCCAACAGATAGAATATTCATGATAAGCAAAACATTAAAGAAACTATATGATTTTGATGATTTTTGCAAGCAAATCAAGAGATAGAATATTCTCACCTGCAAAAATGATGTAGCCCTAAAATCATTGATTCTCTATGGGATTAATGAGATAATATTGCATTTGTGTTTCAATGTTTTCCATACCTTAAATCATTGATTCTCTATGGGATTGCTGAGAAAAAAATGATGCATTTGGTTTCAGCGTTTTCCATGATTTTATATTTTTGAAATCATTGACTATCTATGGGATTGCCGGGAAAATGTTGCATTTGATGTCAATGTTTTCCACAATATTGTATCCCTCAGATGATTGAATAGCTATGGGATGATTAGGAAAACATTGCATGTGGTTTCTACTAATTGCACATCCAAACACATGAAAATTGTATTCTTGCTAAGGCTTGTGCCAATGTTTTCCTAATATATGATATTTATAGAATGTGACCACTGGCAGCCAGCAAAGCTGGCATTCCAGTCTGAATATTCTATCTGTTGATTTTTGAAGACTGTTTAAAAAGAAATATATAATCTACAAATATATATACAGATAACATTATATTTTGGAATTCTTCCAAAACCATACCTTCAACATCTCCCACCCACCAGATAGAATATTCCAACAGACCAATGATACCAGTGATATTCACTTTTTGATGAAACAATTCTTATGTTGTTTCATAGATAAAATATGAAGTTCAACGAGATCACCCAAATTCACCAATTCAAACGTTAAAAAATTATTCTTTGTTGGGTACAATAATCAGTAATCCATGGAGGATGCAGAAAACCTATATATATATACATGAAACCAACAGATAGAATATTCCAGTGATATTCACTTTTTGATGAAACAATTCTTATGTGGTTTCATAGATAAAATATGAAGTTCAACGAGATCACCCAAATTCACTAATTGAAACGTTAAAAGTTCATTCTTTGTTGGATACAGTAATCAGTAATTCATGGAGGGTGCAGTAAACCTATATATATACATGAAACCAACAGATAGAATATTCCAACAGACCAATGATACCAGTGATGATTCCTTCTTTGATGAATATATTGATATGAAATTGTTGATTTTGTTGATATTCATTCTTCATCGAATAAAATATACCATTGAAAATGCAGAAAACCATATATATATACACGGATCCAACAGATAGAATAGTTCAGAGATATATTTCCATAAATTATAAGCTCAAAATATCAACGATTTCGTATATATATATATATATATATGCGAAATCAACTTTTTGCTACTCATCTTAAACAGATAGAATATTCTCACCGGGAAACCAGGTTTCACCCGCAAATTTTTCGATCTCTGAACACTGGATAATATTCTATCTGCTAGTGCCTTAGTATATATAATTGTCAGCTAGAATTATGTCAAACTTTGTATAGTCAAGGCTACGGCCCGCACAAATGAATTTGATCTTTGGTATCTTTGGTGAATGATGATAGAATGAGCGTTTCTGAATTTCTATTGCCCGCTTGCTTTCTTTGTAGAGTCCTGGTGCTGTACTAGAGGCAAGTCCCCTTGGATACATTCAGCATTCCCATCATTCCCTCGATTTCATAGGGATGGATCCGATGGACCAATACCTATGTGACCACCTTTGGGGATGTGAACTAATGTGAACAGGGTAAACATCAGAGTGGTTTTCTCCACATGTGCCAACTGCAGGTGTTTGAGATTGTTTGAGTACTTCTTGGATTGGAGGCGCAGCTTTCATTGCAACATACAGGGCACGGAAATGAATCTGTAAACCAATGTACGCCGGAAAGACCGCTTAGAACTGTACTCAACTCCACATTTGGGACAGATCCTCGTGCCATTGATTCCAAGAAATGTTGCTGAGAGTTGCATTGAAATGCCATCATCGCAGTAGATTTAGGTCAGCTGCAGCGTTTTGCACCAACATTGCGCGAAAAGTTGCACGTTGGAGCATAGCTAATGCCCGGCAACACTCCAAAATGGATGTGCGCGGATGTCTTAGGCGAGCTGTTCAACCTCTAAAGTCTCTAAAGTATTTATCCACTATCCCCCCCATTGTAACAAGGATCGCATCAATCCTGACATCACCCGACTGCACTTTGGGAATCTATAGAGAAACTTGTAGAATTGTCCAAGCTGAACAGCTTAAGATCAATTCTCAAACCTGTTGGGTTTGCTCCGAGATTCGGATCTTTTTCTGCGTAGTCAGCCGCACAAGACGTACGGCTGTGACAACGCCAAATTTGGATCCCAAAATCAACTATGGCTGCTTTGGATACAATGAAAATTTGTTTGATATTACATGATATTACAACATAATTGATTTGGGCAATTGTTTTGAAAATAAATAAAACACATATTGATTCATTAGAAAAATATTATATATATATATTTATATTATTATATCTAAATTTAAAAAATATGTTGTTATATTTAATTTAAATCTATACAAATAATCTTAATATATATATAATTAAATAAATAAAGAAATATATATATATATATATGATCCCGTTTTCCGCCCGCGAGGTCCCCCCCCCCTCCCCCCCGGAATGGGATGGGTCCCTAGGTAGCACCCCTTACTTCCCTTCTATTTGTAAGCTATTGGCAGCATTTCTGAGGTCCAGCCTCGTATTTGCTAGATGTTTGCGGCGATTCTGACTACTAGCCTCCCATTTACTAGGTACATGCTACCCTTTAGACGACCTGCGTAGCACACATACTCCATCATACTCCCTCAAAGTGCCTACGTGCTATCTATAGTTTTATATACATGTGCTATGTATTTATTTCCTATTATATATATATTTATATTCGTATTTAAATATATATATATACATGTTTATACATATATATATACATGTCTATATATATATACATATATAATTATATTTATATATATATAAACATATATATATAATTATATATATACGCAGTACTATACCCCCATTACATTGTAGGGGGCAGGGAACATAGTTCCTGTATATTTATATCCATCCTACTACTAACTATTACTAACTATTACTAACTACTACTAACTACTACTAACCCCCTCCACCCCCCTACGTACCTACAGGGGGGGAAGGGGAACATAGCTCCGCTATATCCATACCCATTCCTACTACTAATTACTATTTACTACTAACTATTACTAACCCCCCTACCGCCTACCTATCCTTAAAAAGAGCCGGGGAACATAGCTGCTGTATACCCATACCCGTTGGGGGGAGGGGGGGTGACCTGGGAGGTTGTATTATATATAATATTATATAAATTATTA